GATGATTTAAGTTTTTCCAAACCTCATTAATGAATCTTATATCTTTGTCTGATACTAAACTTTACGTTTGGAATGACACACTTTGGTACTGGAAGATGCTGAGGTGGTTGTCCCAATTGTAGTTTCGTATTTATTTTGGTAAAATGAAGTATATGTTTTTTCATAATTCGGAGCATTCTGTGTTGCTATGGGATACGAATTTGCATCCAAAATGGCTCTTGGACTCGACAGCGTAGGATCTTTTTTGTAAGGAGCAAAAAAGATACTATTGGCTTCTAAGTCATAAACCGTGTAATAATATTTAAGTACTGCGTTAGGTAACGCTCCTTCATAGCTATCAGTACCGATTTCGACTGGGTACATTCTGAGACTAGCATATTTCTTATTATCAACCACTTTAATATCATCAACAATTTCGAGCATTGGAATAGATATTATAAATCCAGTTATGTCGAAGGATAAGCTATTTGCCTTGACAGTGGAATATAAGAAATATTTGGTATCATTATAGACTTTGAAATCTCCTAGTAATGTGCAAATGTTATCTATTATTGGCTGCGAACTTGCAAATACGTTAGAACCTGAGTCAATAGCATAGATTAATCTCTCATTTGAGATAATAATGCCGTTAAGTTTTGCTGAGTTCACAGTCACTGCTAACACGTTGTAATACTTTCTTGTGGCATTGGGGCCCATCTCAAGAGCGACTGGAGTCTTAATAAGTGGAGCTTCATACACTGAAGTGTCAACACCCCCGAAAGTGATTGAGGGACTCAGCCCTTTTCCGTATATACTGTAGATATTAGTATGTGTAACACCTGTACTTTTTAACCTAACGGGTAGATTTTCATATTTGTCGAAAGCTTCGTCAGTATCATATCCAACACCTACTATTCCGAAATATGAATCGAGATAACTTTCTGACGTATATCCGAATTTTAGTTTCCCAACACTCCAGTCCTTAGTTTTAACAACGTCCACTACTTGCTGAAGCTTAATTGTATTGGTTGTGTAGTAGCCAGTGTCTGCATTCACTCCTGTAAACTTTAGACTTTTGGATTTTTTAGGATTGAATGTTGACTTCGATACAACCAAATCAGAAGATCCGGTGTCCAATACAGCATCATTAATCAACTGACCTGGTGTACCTAGCAGGAATCCAGTAACGATATACATGGAGTCCTTGTATTTTAGATTAATTTTTGCTATTCCTTCTCGGTTTGCAGGAGCTGCAAAATACGATGGGAGAAGAAACAAAAGAAGAAAAAAGAACATCTGGGGCGCTGAAATGCTACAAGAAGATACAAGTGCTGTTTATTCGAAATAGATGCTGATATATATTCGAAAAAGCAGTTTCGTAGTAACTGTATCGATAATAACGCAGTTTCGAAGCACCTTCCAAGTTGGGATGTGGCAATGGGAAGTTCTTTAAAGTGTACCTGCCTAACATTTGTATCCCTTGTCTCAAATTGAACTAAACAAGGATTTGATTACATACTGAATCAATCAATTTCAACGCTAAGAGCGGTAGAGATCAAAATAGACGAGTTTATGATCAAAAATATGTGATCCGCTATATTTCGAAACGACATTCTGGCCACAACAATGTGGAGAAAAGAGAAAAGGAATAGTTTTTAAACTTCTTTTATTTCATATACATCAAGCATTAGATTTCGGACCACAGTCTCATGCAGCCTTGATTGCTTGTCTGCTAGTTCCTCCTTTGCTTGTTCGTTTTTCATATTGATGGATTTTCATTTTTTGATCTATTCACGTGATTTGGACATTGTAGCTCCAGTTGATAATAGAAAAGGAGGAAGCATATAATATCATCAGTTCTACTATAAAATATTTACGAATTTCGAGGAAACGAAATACATCATCATTCCCTTGGCCCGTTTTTGCTTTCCGCTCATTAATTGATAATATAAAGGTTGAAAGAGAGCTTCTAGTATAATATAAAAGAAGGAGCATCAGAAAATTCTCCCCAGACTGTTTGTTGCTTACAAACAAGGTGAATCAAATGAGTCAACAGAATAATAGGGAGGGGGGTTCAGGCATAGCGAGGAATATACTTCAGACTCCACGCTCACCTTCCAGGTCAACTCGTCGAAGAGATCCTCCCAGGATGGACGAAGGGGTCAGTTTTTCATCTACTTCACCAAGGCGAAGAAACCAAAAATCAATTTTCAGTGATCGTTATATCCCTAATAGGACTGGAGTGGACTTGCAAGCAGCATTTAGTCTCTCCAATGAAGAGGTATTACCTAATTTAAGAAATAAAAGTGCCGATAATGAAATAGAGATCAGGAAAGAGGAAGAAGCAAACAGAACCTTTTCAACAGTCTTGAAGGCAGAGCTATTTGGTGATAACGTTCCGATGGCAACAGCAGATTTGACTCCTAGTAGTAGAGGTGCCTCTAAACAACCACGACCAAACAGCACTGGAACTTCAAGTACTAGTTCAACTTCTCAATTACCAGGTTCAACATCTATGCCTGATATGCAAAACACTCACGCAAACAGTGGCTCCAGAACGCCGCCACCAAGAACTTCATCAGCACATAATTTATCCACAACTGCTATTAATCATGATCTCGAAGATAACATAACAAACACGCCAAGACGAAAGACGAACTTGTTCACTTACCAATCACCCCAAAAGACAAGACCAATATCTCGAGATTTACAGAACGAACTTTATTCTTTATCTCCCGTCCGCCAGGAATCACAGAAATTGTTATTGTCACCTCAGAAAAAGCCCCGAAACATCTCGAAGGTTCCTTATAGAGTTTTGGATGCGCCCGAACTTTCGGATGATTTTTATTTAAATTTAGTAGATTGGGGTCAGCAGGATGTTTTAGCAGTAGGATTAGGTGATAATGTCTATTTGTGGGATGGTGCGACGCAGTCTGTTGACAGATTATGCAACTTGTCTAATAAAGATAAAGTGACTAGCTTAAGTTGGATTGGTTCTGGAACTCATGTAGCTATCGGTACATCGAAAGGTTTAGTTGAAATATGGGATGCAACAAAGATGAAATGCGTTAGAACTATGACGGGACATAATCTCAGAGTAAGTTCTTTGGCGTGGAATGAACATATTCTCTCTAGTGGATCTAGAGATCGCACCATATTAAATAGAGATGTGAGAATGGAGAGCCACTACGTTAATAGATTTGAAAGTCACAAGCAGGAAGTATGTGGACTCAAATGGAATTCTGAGAATAAACTAGCAAGCGGTGGTAATGATAATAAGTTGTTCATTTGGGATGGTCTAAACACCAAGCCGCTATATGAATTTAATGATCATACTGCCGCTGTTAAGGCCATTGCCTGGTCTCCACACCAGAGAGGTATACTTGCATCTGGCGGGGGTACGGCTGATAAAACCATCAAAACTTGGAACACCTTAACTGGAAATTTAGTACATGACGTTAATACTGGTTCTCAAGTCTGTAATCTAATTTGGTCTAAAAACTCTAATGAATTGGTCTCCACTCATGGTTACTCAAGGAACCAGATCATTGTATGGAAATATCCGTCAATGCAGCAGCTTGCTCAGCTCACTGGACATACTTACCGAGTTTTATATCTCTCATTGTCGCCTGACGGTGAGACTATAGTCACAGGGGCTGGGGATGAAACATTGCGTTTCTGGAATGTTTTCGAAAAGAACAAGAATGAGGGGCCACCTTCTTCGGTCTTATTGGATGCCTTTTCTCAACTTCGTTAAAGATGCAACGCTCATTCTCATATTCCTCTACGTAAAGTAAAAGGTTTAGCACTGGTTTATAGACTTACAAGGCTTTAATTAATGAACGTTAATGTGTTACTTTATATTTCTCGTGTCAATTTTTCTCCTTTCTTGTTAATACTGACTCATATTTGTTATCGGTCTATACATATCGGGACGGAGCCGCGAAAAAAATTAGTCAACTTTATTCTGAAGCATAAAACATTTAAATATAAACTGAAACAGTTTTCTCTTACTTAGAATTAGACTAAATTATAACAAGAAACTGAAGAATATGACCAAGCCCGAAGCAAAAGACCTTTCCCACCATTTGTCTTTAGAGGCGAAATCTCGGAAGGCTTCTCCATTAAAGACTGCTTTCAAATACTTTGGACAGCCAGGAATGACATTCTTGGGTGGAGGATTACCCTTGTCTGACTACTTCCCATTTAATAAAGTCACTGCAGATATTCCAACTCCTTCGTTTCCAAATGGGATAGGTGCAAAGATCACAGATAGTGATAAGACGGTCATTGAAGTGTTCAAGAACAAAGCTTTGAATAAACCTAATGAGATTGAACTTTCAAGGTCATTACAATATGGCTACACAGAAGGACAGCCAGAGCTTCTCAAATTTGTGAAAGAGCACACCGAAGAGGTTCACAAAATACCTTACTCTGATTGGGATATACTTTTGTCTGTCGGAAACACTGAGGCATGGGATGCAACATTAAGAACTTTTACTACGAGAGGTGATACAATTCTTGTTGAAGAATATTCCTTCAGTTCTGCTTTGGAGACCGCTTCAGCATTGGGAGCTCATACCTTCCCCATCGCAATGGATGATGATGGTATTATCCCGGAGAAGCTCGCAGAGGTTTTGGCAAACTGGGTTGGGCCGATGCCAAAGCTTTTATATACTATCCCAACAGGCCAAAACCCAACTGGATGCTCGATTAGTGCCAAAAGAAGAAAGGCAATCTATGACTTGGCTGTCAAATATGATTTCTTGATCATTGAAGATGAACCTTACTACTTTTTGCAAATGGAAACTTACACTACTGACAAATCCGCAAGAGAATCCAAGCAAATTCACAGTCACGATAAATTCATTGAAGCGTTGGTAGATTCGTATCTTTCTTTGGATACCGAAGGTAGAGTTATCAGATTAGATTCTTTCTCCAAGGTTCTAGCACCAGGACTTAGAGTAGGGTGGATTGTCGGACAGGCTCAACTCATAGAAAGATACTTAAAATTACACGAAGTCAGTATTCAATGTCCAGCGGGCCTTGCTCAATCTTTAGTCAATAGCTTGCTTCAAAGCTGGGGCCACAAAGGATACTTGGATTGGTTGATCGGCTTGAGAGCTGAATACACTCACAAAAGAGATGTTGCTATTGATGCGGTTATAGAGCACTGCCCCAAGGATGTTGTCACATTTGTTCCTCCCGTCGCAGGTATGTTTTTCACAGTTTCAATTGATGCCTCAAAGCATCCGAAATTCAAATCGGATTTCAATGAGGATCCATTGAAAGTGGAGAATAGTCTTTTTGAAAAATCTGTTGAACATGGTACCTTAATGATTCCGGGGTCTTGGTTCAAAGTTGAAGCTTCTTCTTCTGAACCTCAAGATCATGTTCCTGAAAATCCAGAGAAGAAAAATGAAATCTTTTTCAGAGGCACTTACGCCGCTGTACCACTAGACGAATTGGCCATTGGTATCAAGAAATTTGGAGAAGCTATAAGAGCGGAGTTTGGTCTTTAAATAGGAATTAAATTTAGAGTTCTTTTTATTTATATGAATATCGTAATCTTTGGCTGCGCATTTTTCGATCTCTCTATGATAATTGATCGTCGCACTGGTCAATAAACCTAAAAAGTTCTATGTATTGTAATAATCAGCATAATCATCTGGTAGTGATTGTTAGATGCATATTTTAAAACTTCCTTGGTTTGGCCATAATGGTAAGTGAATTCGAAAGCTAATCTGAATGATAATTCATAAAACTATGAAACGTAGAGATACTAATATTTTCTAGTCGATGATAAACACATTGAATGCTATTCAGTTAGCATTAATTCCAAGGGAACTAGACTAGCGTCAGGTGGACTCGATGGTAATGTCAAGATATGGGACACTGATACAATAGTGAAATTCAAGAATATTAGTGGTTTAGACTCAGAAACGTCCCAAGATATGAAGAGCCTACCATCTAAATCTTTACGTCGACCACTATGTTCTATGAGTCGCCATAATGGGGCAGTAACATGTGTAAAATTCTCCCCTGATGGCAGGTTCTTGGCTTCCGGGTCCGATGATAAAATTGTTTTACTATGGGAAAAGGATGATTTGAACCAGCCGAAGCAATTTGGAGAGGTAGAACAAGACCTAGAACATTGGACTGTAAGGAAGAGGTTGGTTGCCCATGACAATGATGTCCAGGATTTATGTTGGTCCCCAGATGGAGCTTTGTTAGTGTCTGTGGGATTGGATAGACTGATTATTATTTGGAATGGGTTAACTTTTGAGAGAATAAAACGATATGATATTCATCAATCGATGGTCAAAGGTATTGTGTTTGACCCTGCCAATAAATTCTTTGCAACTGCGTCGGATGATCGAACTGTTCGTATATTCAGATATCATAAGAAAGCTAACGAATACGGAAACTACGAGTTTCAAATGGAGCATATAATCATAGATCCATTCAAGAAATCACCTTTGACGTCTTATTTTAGAAGGATGTCGTGGTCCCCTGATGGACAGCATATAGCAGTACCCAATGCAACCAATGGCCCAGTTACATCAGTTGCAATCATAAGCAGGGGTAGTTGGGCGACAGATGTGTCGTTAATCGGACATGAGGCACCATGTGAAGTTTGCTCATTCTCTCCAAGACTATTTGAAGTCAAACCCCAACAGAGGGCTAATCACGATGAGCCTAAGTTCTCCACCGTTTTGGCAACTGCAGGTCAGGATAGAAGTTTGGCCGTATGGAGCACGTCAAATACTCGACCAATTGTAGTGGCGAAAGAGATAACGGAGAATTCCATTACCGATATATGCTGGTCTCCGGATGGTGAAACGCTTTATTTCAGTAGTTTAGACGGATCAATCACATGTGTCTCTTTCGAAGCAAAGGAGCTAGGGATTGTCGTTAGCCAAGATATGAATAATTTACAGCTTCATAGGTATGGCGCCGATAGAGAATCCACTCTATTCCCGGAGAGCATTGAGCAATTGTTGTTGGAACAGAAATCTGGCCTGACGGAGCAAAAAGTAGAAAAGAAGGTTTCAACAGAACTTGATGGACCTCAATTGATTGTTAGCTCTCCAGATAAGGTAGAAAGTACAAAAGTTACTCCAAACAAAGTCGCAACAAAACATAAAGTTGCACCCAAAGTTACAATCACAAAAGATGGTAAAAAAAGAGTTGCTCCTATTCTAATGTCATCCTCTGCATCTGCAAATAACTCTTTAATTTCTGTCAAGCGTACTGCCGTGTCAAATTTTCAATTTAATAGGAAGTTATCTCAGACTGAATATCATCTTCCAAGGTTAGGAGTCCACACATCTGTTCACGGAATTAAGGAAAAGAGTACGCATGAACCTTCGTTAAATAATGAAGCTACTTACGACCCTATTAATGATAATGAGGATATGGGAATTGATGAGACAAGCATTAATAATCAACAAAACGTATCAGGAATGGTTTTGAAACGCCAAAGAAACAAATTGAAAAGAGCCATGATGGAAACAAGATATCCTAACTGTTTAAAAGCGGTTTCAGATCTATCAGAATCTTTATTTAATAATCAACTAACTTTGAATCACGAAATAAATTCAATGTTAAGTAGCTCTAAAGAGAACTCCATTGATATCGCTAATAGTGCCTCTGTCGAAATTGACGAAGATTTAATCTTCTCAGTAATAGTCAGTGGAGTATTCCATTTCGAAAATCCAGACTTTACGGAAGATGCATCCCCAAGGTCAGTAAGATCTACTATCGAGGTAAGAAATGGACAGCCTTGGTCTGAAGATGAAGAAGATGCGGAGCAAAACGATAAAGTTGACTTCCAAGATCCCACCATTGTTATCGTAACGACCAACAGAGACCATAACGAGAGAAAATATATTCTTTATTTTCCATACAAGATCCAGCATGCCTTACCGTTTGTAATTGAAGGGTTATTGACATATTATGTGTTGGTCTCGTTCAATGGAACTATTCAAATCATCTTAGCTGAATCGGGAAATTACCTTTGCCCAAGTTTTGAAATAGGCGCTAATCTTTTAATGGTCAAGCAACGAGGAAATTATTTGATGGTTTTGACTAGTACTGGTTTAATATATACTTGGAAATTATCTGCTACTCCAAAAAGTTTGCAGGCAGTAGTGAAAGGTGTTTCCATTGCAACAGTTTTAAATAATATTGAAATCCCTGAAGCAGAAAAATCTTCAAGAAAAACTTCTTTACTAGCTACCCCTAATATTCGGATCCTTGAGATCAATGTCGCCGATGGAACACCACTAGTGGTTTTAGAAAACACAAACAATATCTATGGATATTCGATACACTTGAGAACCTGGATATTGGTAATGGATTCGTGGTACTATTTGTCCCAAGATGCTTCGAATCCCTCTCCAATTACAACAAATGCTGCTATCAACTCGCTTATCCAATTAACCTGCAGCTCCTTCAAAAATGATCTAGCAAAAGAAAAGATTAACAATTATGTTTTCACAGAAAAGAACGAAGAACTAAAAGACGTTATGAAAACAAAATTTAATGAATTGATAGAATTTGTAAATTAAAAACTAAATCTACTGTATAATTAATGCAAGTTATCCCTTTTATAGTTTTTGGTGAATAATAATTCTTCTCTAATCCTTTTCTCCAATAGGAATCTCATTCTTTAAGGGCTCTTCGGGCTCATCAACTGATTTAGAAAAAGGGAAGCTTAATAAGAAGAATAAGTCTGATAAAACAGAATTAACAGAAAAGATGTATACCGTCAACCCTATACCTCCCACCTGAGTGAATGGAAGAGCGAGAAACCACTCTATCAGAGGAGGAAAAACACCTTTCGGTAAGTAAAATAAAACTGTCTTTCTATACCAATATCTTATGAACCAAAGAGGAATTGTGGTTGTAAGCATAATAATAAAATTCACATATTTTGTCAAAACGCTCTTCTTCAGTATTAATTGCTCATTTAATGTCTTAAGCTCATTTGTAAGCTGATCTGATTTTCTATTCAATTTTGTCCACCTGGCGTACTCATCTTGTGCACTAATTGACTTCTTCTCCTTATTCACTTCGTTCAACTCCTTTGATTTGGCGGCTAAACTGCTGATTTCGGCATCTCCGATGCTTACCGCATACTTCCTATAACCATACCATGCCCAATCTGAAATATTGCCTTTACCCACTAATGTCGTCAACTTCTGGAAAAATAGCACTAAAAATACGACGGCTAACAATGTGGCCGATTCCAAAGAGAACACTAACATACTCAAAATACTTGTTGAATTATTGAACCAGTTTTAGTCACCACGCTTTTGAGCAGACTTTTCAAGATTATGGAGACATTTAGAATTGTCGATATTACCCATGTTACACAAAAATAAACAACTTCGCATTTCTGCCATACTAATTCTTTAAAGGATGGGCTGACACAGTTAACATTAAGGATCAGAAAACAAGAATCTAGTTATCTAGGATATGTCTAGTGATATAGAGGAGGATTACGTTCCATGGATTCAACAGTTCTGTGAACTATTTGGACATGACTACTTTGTTCCTGTCTCACAGGATTTTATTGAAGACGATTTCAATTTAACAGGGTTGTCACTGCAAGTGCCATATTATAGAGAAGCACTTTATACAATATTAGACTACCAAGTAGAAACATCAGAAGATAACAATAATTCCAGTGGTGGGGCGAGTAAGAATGGAAAGACTGAATTACCTAATAAGTCATTGCTTGCACACTCTGCCGAATTATTATACGGGTTAATACATGCTCGATATATTATATCGAAACCAGGATTAACTGCAATGGCTAGTAAATTTGAGAGGAACGAATTTGGATCGTGTCCAAGATACTATTGTGATGGGATGCACTTAATACCAGTAGGATCGACTGATATCCCGGGTCAAGAAACAGTTAGGTTATATTGTCCTTGTTGCAATGACATTTATTTACCATCGAGTTCAAGGTATTTAAACATTGATGGCGCTTTTTTTGGTACGACGTTTCCTGGTTTGTTGATCAAAATGTTTCCAGAGATTGAAAATCAATGTAGAATTAGGATAAACAAAGTGAATCAAAATGATTTCGGTTTAAGACTCTTTGGTTTTAAAATCAATGAGCTAAGCGCAAGTGGCCCGCGTATGAAATGGCTAAGATCTAACCCCCGAAGTGACGCTGAGAGAGAAGAATACGAGAACTGCGAAACTAGCATACCTAATGGATATAATTCTGATGGTCAGTCTAATAGTGAAAGTGGCATAGATGATGATGATGACAAAACAATGGCAAGTGAGGGTAGTTGATGATGTCTTGCAGATCTTTGTACCCTTCCCTTTCAAGCATAAAATTTTACTACTGTAATGCATATATATTATCTTAATTTTTGCTAAGTATGGAACGATACAATGTATAAACGGAATAAATTCTCTAACTAATGACTAATTTTCAAACAACCTAATGTGTCAAGTGAACTGGCTTGCCAGGTTCCCATTCCTTTATGCCATTCTGGATATTTACCCAGTATTTTAATTTTATGGCCTCCATTGTCACAGTATCCCAATCGATTTTGGGTTCTTTCAATAAACTGTCTATTACGTTTTCACTTTGTACTATTCTGGCATCATTTTCATCCTTCAAGTCATCCAAGTGCTCCTCCAGAGTTGCCGTCTCCAATGACTCATGTGCTTCCAATACTAACATAAGCATTTCCTTATATTCTAATGCACTTTCAGGAGAATTAGCTTGATACTTCGCAATCAAATCATTCGAAGTCTCCTTAGTTATATCCAAGTGCTCGGGATGATTAAGCTTAATTATGTGGGCTATTCTGTTGTAGGGACTCCTAAGAGTGATATATGCTTTGTTCACGGTTGATGAATAGTCTTCTTTGGTTTTGCCCCCTTCATTCTTACTTAATATGCTAGATCCAAAGACGACGTCAGGATGGCTCTGACCTTGAACTTGTCTGTATTCTCGCTGAAGTTGCTTTAAGTTGATCTTAAAAGAATCTTTCGGAGGTCCTCCATGAGGAAACGTCTTTGGAAAGATATCGAAAAATGATTTTATTGTCTGAGTCTGTCCATAGAGTCTAATAAACACTTTACCGCTTTGCTTTCCAGCTTGAGCAATTCTCCACATTATGCTATGCTAAGTTCGTAGTGTCGAATTAGGCATCTAAGTATCTTCCGGAAGCAATCAGTTCTGTAAAAATTTCAGACTGCACGAAACCCTTTAATATTATAAATCAAATATCATAGCTAATTACAATTTATATGTAATGACTTAGAAATGCTTAATAGGAATGTTCAAGAAAAGAACCATTAGGCGGTCAAAATCTGATGCTAAGAGAAAGCTAGATTTCGAAAGCGATGGCTCGGGATCTGAAACCAACTCTGAAGCTAGTATCAGGATACCACAAAGAGAGTTCAAAAAGAGGAAGCATCCCAACGGCAAAAATGAAGGAACTACTTCAAAGAGCTCTGTGGGATATTTTGAAACAAGCTCGAAGAAGGAGGCAGAACCTGTAATTCAAGGGCTAGCCTCAGACGAAAACTCAAAACCATCTAGCACTTTGAAAGGTGCTCCGCAAAATATCAGGACAATTACAATAACGGACTTTCAACCAGATGTATGTAAGGACTTTTTACAAACTGGTTACTGCGGTTATGGAGACACTTGTAAGTTTTTACATATTAGAGATGAATCGAGACAAAAAAAGCCTATAGAGAAGGAATGGGAAAATGTTACGAAGACGAAAGCGAAACCCAATCCCAAAGTAGACCAAATTCCATTCAAATGTGTACTTTGCAAAGAGGACTATAAAAAACCTGTTAAGACCACTTGTGAACATATATTTTGCCAGACCTGTCTCTTAAGCAGAATCAAGTCCAAAAACAAAACTACATGCTTTATTTGCGGCAAGGAGACTGGGGGAATCTTCTCTTCTGTACTGCCCAAAGAACTAGACTCATTGATAAGCTAATGAATTGTACAATATTATTTCACTAAGTTTGAATGTATAGATGTAGCCTGGAAACTAAGACGGTTCCAAATTTGGAGTCCGCGATACTTTATCCGATGACTATGACCATATAATTGCCACGTACTTAGAAAATGCATAACTTCTAGCATATATTGATTTTGAATTTCTACGCACAACGACGACGTAGCTGTACTTCTAGACATGTCCCAATTTCAGCAACAGTTGCAAGGGTTGCCAGGGTATGATCTTGTTATGGACAAGTTCAATGATTATGCGGAGGACCATTTCAATAACATTAATCCATACGAAGATGAAGGAAGAAGAAGAAAATTAGGACCCTATAGTACACCAGAGGAGCAGAAGCTTTGGAAAAAAGTACAAAAGAAGGCTTGGATTCACGACAAGTGCTTTCTTGGTTCCTGTGGTGTAGGTATGGATTGCGGCTTGGGTTTAGCTCCATTAGTGGTTTTTCTTTTGCCAGGACTTGGCCCTCTTTTAATGTACGTGGTTCATACACGGTTGCTAACTATGGTAGAAAAAGAGATGCAACTTCCAAACAAGCTTATCGCAGAAATGCAAGGAGAAATTGTTTTCAACATGATCATCACTTTTCCTCCAATCATTGGCTCATTTTTCAGTTGGTTATATGGTTGCTCAACCAGGAATGCTGGCCATATATATAAGTACATGGAGCACGTTGGTAAGCTAAGGCAGGAAAATAAGGTGCCTACATACTCTGGACCTATATCAAATCCAGCTTCCCATCCAGCTTCGCATTCTAGGAGTGCTGTTCCTTCAAATGGCCCTAATGGAAGGAGATACAATAAACATAACGACAGGAATTTTGCACAGAGTGAACAAAGGACAGGGTTTGTTTGAACGATAGTGTGATCTGAGGAGTTCTCTATTAAACTACGCAGCCAAAAACATATTAACGTTTTGTAGTAAAATTTCGGAGTGAGCATTTGCATAATTTTTTCATAGTCATAATCTCAATATCAATATAATATTGATAAATATTTTGCCATTCTTAACAATGTATGAAAGACCAAAAGGAATAGAAAACTGTAGAATTTGGATCGATGGATGCTTTGATTTTGCGCATCACGGTATGTCTTCTCGAATCATCGTACTATATAAGTAGTAAAGTACTAACAGGTATGGGCCACGCGGGTGCAATGCTTCAAGCAAGGCAATTAGGAAAAGAATTATACGTTGGGGTACACTCAGATGAAGAAATATTGCTTAATAAGGGTCCTGTGGTGATGAAAATGGATGAGAGAGTAACAGCTGTTGAAGCGTGTAAATGGTCAACAGAAGTAATTCCAGGAGCACCATATGTTACTGATCCGAAAATAATGGATAAATACGACTGCAAGTATGTTGTACACGGTGATGATATCACTACTGATGCAGATGGAGAAGATTGTTATCAATTAGTCAAGGATTTGGGAAGGTTTGTTGTTGTTAAAAGAACGCCTAATATTTCCACGACAGATTTGGTTGGGAGAATGCTACTAATGGACAAAGTACATCATTATGCATCTCTTGAAAATTGTAGAGATGTCAAACAACATGATTTGTTCAAACAAGATAATTTAGAGAAGTTCAAGGCGTATGCGTCGGACGAATCTGGATTGCAGCTAGGTTCTAGCGTGTATGTAAATTCCTATGGAAATTCAGAACTCACTGCATTGTTCTCCTCTCCAAAGCCTTTTCATAAAATTAGTTACGTCGATGGTGGCTTTGACCTTTTTCATCCAGGTCACATTGAATTATTAAAAGTAATTGCCGGAAAAGCAAAGGAAGATGGTTCGAGTGTGTTGGTTGGCATTCATGATGATCCTACGATAAATAAAATTAAAGGGCTCAATTATCCCATCATGAATATTTTCGAGAGGTCTTTGTGTGTCTTGCAATGTCGTTATGTAGATGGTATAATATTGGGTGCCCCTTACAAGCCATCTTCAGAGTTTTTGGAGAAGATTCCAGGAAAAGTAATCAAGGTATATCATGGACCAACACCGATTATTGACAACGCTTACGATGAAACTAAAGAGCAAGGCTTGTATGCGAAAATCGGGAGGCACAAATATGACGATATGAATACACAATTCATTGTTGATAGAGTTTTGAAGAATAAGGAGGCATATGAAGAAAGACAAAAACGTAAAGGTTGGAAAAGCGAAAGAGAATTATTGCTACAGCAGCAACTGGAAAGTTATTGAAAAGCTTCGTAAAATGTATCTTTAGACTATTTATATCGTAAATTCGTACTACAATTCATATTCCTCATAAAGTGATATAGTCCAAGTTTCTGGACTTCAACCTTGTAAATCGGTTTCCAACTTGTCATTCAAGATTCTCATGTTGGCTTCATTCAATTGATGGTTGGAGTTTCTTCTTTCTGAGCGACCGAAGAAGTTGAAATCTTCATTTAACTCATCTAATTCATCTCCCGGTTGACCCCAATTGTTCTTTCCGGCGCCCATTTTCTTTACCTTCTTTGGATTCATATTGGTCGGTCCTTTATGCGTAAACCATCTAGCTTGACCCTTTGCTTCGTGAATTGTCCATTTATGAGTTTTTGACATGCTTAATTTCTTCTTATTTGTTAATTTATTTCTTAGAAATAATGTTTGAATACTTCGACGAGATTTCAACTTTCTAATTCTTGATCAATATTTATAGTCATGATCTTGTGACGTAGACATTTCTAGAAATCGCTCAAAAAGTGTGGGGTCATGATATTATGCTCCTTTATAGGAGGCTACGCTGTATGCAGTATAAGACGAAAACGGTTGCATTCTTTTTTGATTGCAAAATGAGAAGTACAAAAGACCTCTAACTCAACGCTTTAAAGAGTCTGACCTACAAGTAACTCTATATAACGTTATCCATTCCTATAGTAGTTCATAGGGACCTTTCAAAACTTGGACTGTGTCCAATTGAATTAAATACTTTAATTTTATACTTGGTCGTAATAAACTTCTTATTTTAGGCATATTTTGACTAAAGTACATGTAAAAGAGTTCAAATCCCTATATTAAAACGTGTTAGTTGTGTAACTTGGAAGAACACAATCATATACTGCAAAAGTGATTCAGAACCACAAAAACTCGGCTTTGACTGCAGTTATTGTATTTGTGGATGAGCCTAAACTGTCTATAAATAAGACAAGAGAGCAGCTTCAAAAAGATAAATATTAAAGTTACAGAAAGAAGACAGAAGACAAACAGCGAAATAAAAAATGCAACTCAGTTTTTCGTACATAGTTACGGCTATGATGGCTAGTTCAGCCTTAGTTGCTGCTGGCAAAGCACCTAAGATAAAAAAGAACCCCAAGGATGTAGTTGCAATTGCTGACTTTCCTTTTGGATTTGACCTGAAGGTAAAGGGAAACATTGTTTTCACAGCAAAGAAAGGAAAAGCGGTTAAGGTTCACGTTGACATGACTGGGTTACCAAAATCTGGTGGTCCGTTTGTGTACCATATTCATGAATACCTGGTGCCAGAAGATGGTGATTGCGATGCTGTGGGAGATCATTTCAACCCTTACAATGCACCTCCAGATTGTGATAATCAAAAGAAGGATGCTTACTGCCAGGTCGGAGATCTATCTGGTAAACACGGTTGGATAGACACTTCTTGCTTTGAGACAAAGTACGTCGATCCATATCTATCATTAAACAAGAAGTCGAAGTCTTATATCGTTGGTAGGTCTATCGTTTTCCACTTTGCGAACTTGACTAAGTTTGCATGCGCTGACATCCAGTTGGCATCAGATTTGAGGGTCGCAAGCTTGTTGGAAGAATATGAAGAAAGCCATAATGAGGATTTAAAAGAGCTTTCAGAAGTCACCGCCGAGGGATACGTATTTGATGAAGAGGAAGCACTCCAATCTGAAGAATTTGAGTCTAACGAACCTCAATACAAAGATTACGTCCCAACGATGCCAAGTCCCCTCCATTATAAGAACGTTACATCTAATTTGACGACTCCTCAGGGCAGCGGACAAGCAGGCGCTAGCAATCTGTCCAATGCCACAAATCACCAATCTCCAAATTCTGAGAATGGTTCATCGCTCAAAGGTCTTGGAATTTCAGCCATCTTAGCATGTGTGGCAGGATTATTAATCTGAGTGGTGAAGCCAAAGCTACACATGTCAGTTTTTTGGAATTAACGTTGAAAAATTTAAATTTGATGCAATTTGAACATCCAGGGAATTATTATCTCTATTCTATATATTATATCAGTTTACTTTTTAAGTATTTCCTTTTGACTTCGTAGCCCATATCTAACTAATGCCTTAACTCTTAATGTCTCACCATATCGAATCAATATAACACTACAGACTAGCCCCAACCATAGAATAAAAGCGCTGATTGTGCATGACCATCCAACGCCTATACTATCAATACTCCTCAAACAAGTTGCTGAAGCGACTGCTCCAGCGAGATATCTTGAAAAATAACTACTGGCAATACCATCTCCATGGAGTTCTGGCATTGAGTCAACACAGTAGGTATTGGTTGCTGGAAAAATGCACGTCTGAGCAACTCCACTTAAAAACATGAATATTATTGGTACAGCCATACCTCCAACTTTTTTCTCGATTGACCAGCCGTATATCAACATCGATACAGGGTAGACGATTCCTAACGGAATCAAGACGGTTCTTAGTCTGTCTTCAGGAACTCTCCTACCACGCTTTTTGATATATCTTTTTACAACATAGTCTGCCCAACGACCACCGAAAAGACTACCAATGAGATACCCTACGCCAGGAGGAAGGTAAAATAACCCACTATAGATGGGCTCAGTTAGGTCAAACCTTGGGTCAACAACTTTTCTTATAGGCGTCAACAAATTATACATATTGTAAAGAATCGCAATACTAATATAGCCATTGATCGATAAGTTAGGATACTTCAATGCAGTCATAATTCTAAGAGGATTGAAGCCTATGAATACGAACTTCTTCTTAGGGTTTTCTTTTCGAGCTTCTCTTAAAATTATTGAATGTTTAGTTTCTTCTAACGTCTCAGGCAAAAAAACTAGGGCCATTACAAATACGCTACAACCTATACCTGCTAAAACCCAAAAGATGACCCTCCAACTTGTGAAATTAACTATGATACCACCAATAACACCTCCAAACCCAGTACCAACTTGTGATCCCATGACTATATAGGACATATTAGTTCCTCTTAATACCGGTGGATACAAGTCTCCAACAATGTGACCACCAATACTGAAAAAGGAAGTACCAAATAAGGCTGTTAACGATCTGAAAACGTAAAACATTGCCAAGTTTTGAGAAACTGCAACCAAGATCGTCGTAACCGTAAAAAGAGAACAGCACCATAAAAATGTATTTCGCCTACCATAAATATCGGATAGAGGTGAGAACACACAAGGTGAAAGAGACATAAATATGCAATATACCGCACTAGAAATATTGATCACTTCAGCAGTGGTATTAAACCGTGCTGCAATCTCAGGAATAGCCGGTAGGAATGTTAGACTTGACAACGGTGACAAGAATCCAGAAATCGCAGCAATGGCTACACATAATCTCTTTGTTCTCTCAGGAAATCTAGAAAATTTCTTATCGCTAGATATGGACATCGACTTCTTCAAATTGGCCTCTAAGTCTTCAGAAGTTTCATTATTTGACGGTACGCTCGATCTCTTAGACTGAATTCTAGAAAGGTGTCTAGAAAGTGCATCATCTGCGACACTTCTCAAGTCTAATGGTATAGCTTCGCTTTGATACCCTGTTTGATCGTCAATTATTAATTCATTTTCTGTCGCTAGAGAATTCAAGCTATCAGAATGTAAGCTATCGTTATCGTAGGCCATACTCCAGCTCTATAGTTTAATAAGAAAATTATTCTTCAACCTTTTCATAAAAGTTCTTTAGATGTGGGGGTATTGTTTGTTCAGCCCCTCAGTCGCATCGCTCGCATCTTTCTGTTTGGGGACTGGATGAATAGCAGATGGAGAGCGCACCAACTCATACCTGAATGTATTTTATCTTATGATGTAGTTCATCGTCTAACTGCTTTATATCATACTCTCGACTGCAAACACACCTATCATTTATGACTTTAAATGTTTTTATATTACTTTCATCATGAATTAGGTTGCATCACAAACCTGTCTATAAACTATTTACTTTATGTCAATATTATTGAATTCTTCACCTTATCTAACCCGTATAATCTGATACAGTCTATGATCACCCTTTTGGAAGAGCCCTGTAGGTCATCAAAAGGAGCCAGGATCATTTGTTGCGACTTAAGTGCATATATATTCACAACGAAGGTGTGGCCAATTACGTTCTCATTGAGCCACACTTTTATTTGCCATAGGGGAATAAGACCTGGCACTACGGACGGTATTTCTTTGTCTAAAGACCTTGTATTAAAATTAACTCCATAGGTTGACAGAAGCTCATGAGCAATATTTTCAGCATTCAAGTATAGCTGTTCATTACCGTATAGTGAGTCGCTTATATTTTTTAGACATTTCCCTTGAAACTTACTTGGTGATTCTGATTGAGGAAAACTGGAGTTTTGAACGCCGATTTCTTTCAGGAGGTCAATATCAATATCTTCGTCTTCTATTACGAAAAACTTACCATTTTTTATAAACGGTTGTAGCTGAGATATGGGGAAGTATGTCTCGGTACAAACATCTAAAAGCTCACCCCCGAACTTCAGTTTGTATTGCATTTTCGGACAATCATCAATATAGTAACCTAGGTAATACCAATCTAAGTTGAGGTGATCACATATCATCAACTCTCTCAAACCCGACAAGGTACCAAGTGACAAGTGGGAATAGTCCGGATCCCAAATGAAATAAATAGACGACATGCCGGAGGGTAAGAGATCAACAACTGAGATTGCTATTAGTTTTCCATCGAGGTAATAGCAGTCATGTGCTGAGCCAACATAGCGATTCACCCTACCACTTTTACTATTCTTATCCACTGTAGTCCAGGAATTTAAATGATCCCAGTCAGCAGTACATTCGTCTTTTGGGAACGGGTTATCACATAGAAAACGTTTGAATGACAGCTTTGAAATATCTTCCGGATCATCATTATGTACTTTGATTTGATACTTCTTGTACAATTCAAATTTCTCATCTGAAAACTTGGAGGGTCCAAATACTGTGTAAAATCTGGTGGATTCCCTCTCCGCTTTAACTAATGAATTCAAGTCAAATGCAGAGCCCTTTTTTGACAACGTTTGACTTTGAGGGCCATTGATTGCACTTGTTGCTCTAATGAACCTATTAATAGTTTTCCTGTGCTGCTTGTTTATCTTCATCTCTTGTAACCTTGTCCTAATTGTGAACAACCGACAGCAGTTTCGAAGCATATCCTGTTTATATAGAAAAGTACCCGATCTCCTAAATCCTCGATTAATAAGGTCATCATATTGCTGATATGTCATTTGCTCAACCTGGGATCCAATCGTAACATGTTCTGCTTTGGTAGGAATAGATGGCAATTTCTTATCTTTGAAACTATCTACAGCATAAAAGTCAGATTTTTTGCAATTGCAATATCCACAATGTTGACTCACCATATAATATGGGCCCGTTAAGACCATTGGGACATCATACGCTTCGCTCATTCTCGCTATAGTCCCGCCGTATCTATCTGATTTTATTTCGTTTAGCAATAGCAGATTTTGTGTAATTGGATATTGTAGATGCGATTTTTACGTTTTAGACATTAACGTTTATAGTGTTCTTCTACTCCGAATTTGTCATTACATTATTATTTGGGCAGAAGTTATTACCAAGTTATGGGAGGATCTTCAAAAACAAGCCCAATAAAGAAATCTAATAAACCGATTACTGGGGTAAAAGTTGAAGAAGAGCAGAGTGTAATTAAACCAAATGGTGTAAAGGAGACAGCATCAGATGCAGATGGCGATGGGGCAGACCATGGAATCTTGTCAGATCCAGAGGATTATTTAGAAGAAGATGAAACTTTAGATTTGGATTTGACCAATGGTGCTCAAAAAATTTGGTTAGTTAAATTGCCACGTTATTTATCAGACTCTTGGTCTAATGAAGGTGCCAGTGGGGCACAATTGGGTACTGTCAAAATCAGACATACCAATAATAAATTGCAAGTGAAACTTATGCTCGACGAGAAGCTCAAAAAGCCAAACATAGCTCTGGAATACAATATCAGCATGTTGAATACCCAAGTAAACAACTCGTATGTGTTCAGTGAAGAAAACTTAAAAAAGTTTAAACAGGAGTTGACAGAAGTGGGAGATATGCCAGAGCAACCTACATTGCAACCTGTCGACAAAAAGAAAGGAGTTGTGAAACCAAACTCGTATTTTAGAGTTCAAAAAAATAAAGATGGCAGTCCTTCAACGAAAAAGTACGTCCCATATGTCAAAACCATCCCTAAGAAAACTGCGTTAGTAGGAAAAATATGCCATGATTGTCAAATAATTCCCTCCAAAGAGGATAAAAATTACAGTCAAATTTTGTCTGGCAGAAAAAATATACAACCTGCAAAGCAACGACCTAAAGTCACATTGTTAGATGAGATTCCAGGTGTTGTCCAATCTAATGCAGGCCCATCTATTAAAGGTAATAATACATCTGTCTTTCTTAAGTCAAGCTTAAGTAAAAATAAGACTGGTGAAGGCAGAGCCATAAGGATGCCGAAGAAGGATTTGTTGGATTTGCTTTTCAGGTTATTCGAGGAATACGATTATTGGTCCATGAAGGGACTCAAAGAACGGACAAGACAGCCAGAATCATATTTGAAAGAGTCTTTAGACTCAATTGCTATTTTAATCAAAAAAGGGCCATACACTAGTAAATATAGTTTGAAGCCAGAATATAAGAGATTGAGAGATGCAGGTAGAACCACGAACCTAGAAGAAAATGACGAGGAAGAAAACAAAGATGAGGGCGATGATATTGAAATGGAAGATGTCATTTAATTCTTCCAATGGAATTAAATATAAAAGCTACATTAAAACGAGTAACAGATTAACATATATTAAATACATAACATTTAACTTACAAGTTCTTGATGTCTAAGGTTGGTGGCAAAGATTGTTGCAATTTCTTAGCCTTAGAAGCATCATTCACAACCAAAGTGTATTGATATCTAGAACCTCTAACTTTAAATTTAGTTTGTTTGAATTTCTTACCATTAGAGTTAATCTTTTGGTTTACTTTGACGACAGCTGACTTGATGTCAGATCTTCTTGCCAATTCAACGAATTCCTTGATGTCTTTGATTTCACGCTAGAAGAGTTAGTAAATGCTCTTATAAGATTGACTAGTAATAGTTTGTAGATCCATGATTTCGACCGTAACTTCACATTTCTTTCGCCCACTTCAAAACCCACGTAACTTGTGTTTCTAAGTGCTAAGATCGATTTAGGTCCCGCCTATCTCTTATAGTTCTTGCATATTCAATAGTCTTCGTAGTCTCTCTTGTACTATTTTCTTGAACTTTTTTGTTTACAGTATTCTTGGTAATCATTCAATCAAAATATACGGAAATATAAAAACAGTCATTGTAATCAAGATGTAATCTAAACCTTGCGATACATACAGCCATGTCTACTAATTTTTTATGATAATTGGTGCTTAAGAAACCAAAGTGTTGTAGTATTAAGGCGATGTGAAAAATTCCTTCAACAGTACCGAGAATAAAAAAACTATCATCACGTGAGCATTTATTCTTAACTAATGCGGGTAGAGCCCTAACGGTATTCAGATGATGAGTGAATACAATCAGAGATTCAATAAAGTAGTTATAAATGCTATAACGTCGATGTTCTTATAAATATATAAGGTAATGTACTCACTTCATCACACTCTTCCTTACTATTAAACAGAGTTTCTTGCAAAATAAACTAGAAAAAAAAAGAATATTATTAAAACTGAACTTAGGTTGTAATCAGTCCTCTGAAAGAGCATCAGATGGAGTGACTAGTCTAACTTGGCCATTTCCTTTCACAAAATGAAATCAACCGTTTTATTGCCGTGATCCATCTCCTTGTTTTATCATCAATCATTATATTCGAGGGTTTATCAACGCCTTTGGTTCTCAGAGAAGCACTTCTAGAATGTATACCCACATTTTGGACACCAATGGGCCAAGCAGCGTTACCGATACTTAGCTTAAGATAACTCTCATTGGCTTTGTTATAGTCATGCATTTGAAGATAATAAACAATGGTGCTCAACGATATTAGTAATTCTTTAGAAAGCTTATGCGAACGTAACTTGTACAATAGAGTCACTAAGTCCTTCTTTACTTCTAATAGAAGATCACTTTCTTTATCATCATGGACACTTGAATCCCATTCCAGAATGAGATACTTGAGATAAGATCGTATTTGCAAATACAACTTATGGTCATGTATATCGTTGCCTATATCAGATGTTGAAATACTTTTATCCACCAGATCCTCTTTCTCTAGTTGAATTCTATACCTTTCCTTTTTTTGATGTAACTTTCGTATCAGATCCAATCTCATAAATTTCTCTATCTTTGATCCAGATAAGTTTTCTTCTCCCATAGCTAGAAGCATTTTATCAAGCTGATCATCGCTGGTTGACTCAAGCAATTTGGATTCGTCGTCTTCTATACCTGTCGCTATTGTGTCTTGCTTTCCATGTGTATCATTATCTACCTCCGGACGATCATACTTCAATTCATTTGGCGCACCATCGGTGTCCGCAGTCACTTTTGCATCATTGCACTCATCTCCAGTTCTCTTAAGATGCAACGTATCTGAATCAACCTGACGATCCCCTGACTTCTTTTCTAGCTTCCTCTTATCATCAATCTTCCTCCTTTTATTATCAATCTCCTTAGAAATGAGACTAGAAAAGTCCATTGGCTGATCAAATTAAAGAGTTAAATTTAAGGTTATCGAATTCGGTAATTACCCAATTTTTAGGGAAGCGAATTGGAGACTTTCTCCAGAAATCAGATTGGGATATCTTTTTTTTTTACACTCAAGTATATTAAACAGATAAAAGCAAGCACTCAACTCTTTGATAGGAGTAATCATATCATTGAGAATAAGATCAGGTGTTTAGGACCTTTACCTAATCACGGTTTAAATAATACTCTAGAATTCGGGCAACATCCGTGAGAGATTCTAGCAAAAATCAAAAGTGTAAGTTCAAGCTAGGCTCGACCATTAGTTGAACTTCGTTTAGGATAGTATGGCAGGTGAAAACTCAAGTAGCGCAGTGTCTAACAGTCCAGCAAAAGGAGAGAAGGATACCAGAAGGAATTCCGCTGGAACTGGCAATACTGAGATCAGCTATAGCGAAGCTACAGATGACGACGAGAGTGAAGTGAGAGCCAGATTTGTGAGAAACGATCCTTTTAGCGATGACAGTCCCAATGCTAATGCCGCGGAAACAAGGCCTCAAACATCTCCATTACTTTCATCTACTCCACCGACAGTGGCAAAATCTTTAATTAAAGCATACCCTTATTTGATTATTGTTAATAAGTTATTGGCAGTTTTCACATGGACCAATGAAAACTACTGGGTCAATATTGTGATAGTTAGTTCTTACGCTTTAATAGTGTTATATTTTGAGAATATTGTTACCTGGTTTGGACATCTTATAATTGTGGGAATTGTTACTTTATATGCTTTATTGAACACCAAGATTTTGGAGGAAGCAAATCTACGCCCAACTTTGGATGATGTTGTTCAAGCTCTAACTGCCACGCGTATAAAGGCTGATTTATTGTTGAGTCCTGTTACATCTTTATCTCTAACAGCATATGACATCAAAAGACTATTGTTTACAACTGTCTTTCTTACACCGATTTATTTGATAGTCACATTTTTATTGATCAAACCAAGAATTATCTTATTGGTTTCGGGAATATATGTCTTAACATATCATTCATCATATTCGAGAGTGACTAGAAAGATTTTATGGAAGATCAAACTCGCGAGGTTGATTTGCTTTTATTTGACGGGTTTAGATTTCCTGCAAGCTAGGAATCATTCTTTATTCGCTGCTGCATTCGCCAAAGTTCAAAAGAATTCTGGCGGTTCATTGGGCTCGATTGGTTCGAGCAGCGACAGTAAGCCTGTAAGATTTACATATGTGATCTATGAAAATCAGAGAAGATGGCTAGGCATCGGGTGGACTTCAAACTTGTTATCTTATGAGAGAACTCCATGGACAGATGAATTTTTAAACGAATCTTCTTCTATTGAATCGTTTCAGTTACCAAACACTGATAATGATGAATTTAATAACCATAAGATGAATGGAGCAAATTGGAGATGGGTAGACAAGACATGGAGATTGGACTTGACGAATGACGGAGCAATTACAATGCCAGTTTCAAAAAGATCAAAGACTAATGCTGACCCCGCTCCAGATGAAGGATTTATATACTATGATAACACGTGGAAAAAGCCTTCAACTGAGGATTCATACTCCAAATATACCAGAAGAAGACGATGGATTCGAACTGCTGAACTTGTGTTCAATGCAAGCGTTGATGCAAGAAATCAAACTAGCGACGAGGAGGTCATTCAACCAAAGAACTCTTCTCCCTCTCAAGCAAAACAGAGAAAATCTTTACGCTTTTCGGAACCAGAGATAAATAAGCCTGGGTTAGAAAAGATCCCGTCAGACGCCGACGAAACTAATACCGAGAAAAAATCTTCAATTGAATCTGCTTACGATGCACTTGAAAAAAAGAACTCGCAATCTAAGAAGAAAGAAGACTAAGATTACAACGATTTTAACAATTCTACCCTTTCGTTTTATATCACTCATCTTGAACATGATTTCTCCTCAAATCTCTATTTAATTTTAAATGCGACTTGACTTAGTTGCTATGATAAATATATCTGCAAGAACTTACAATGTAGCTTTAGACTTCCATTATTAATACAATTGCACCATGTTCCACTTGGTGTTACTATGTGTCTATCTTACATCTATCTTATCATCTATCTGATTCATATTAGATCGGTCGGCCGGTCCTTATCTACTGGTGAGGTTACGTGGAGCCCAACTTTTGCAGGACATGTCCACAATTCCACATATGTTTAGGGGCACACTGTATCTATAGACACCATCAGTCCAGCAACTCTAACGAGCCTTTCAAAATCCCCTTAGCAATGATGCATACATAGCAACGGAGATCCCCATATAGTTATTCAGAGCGCTATGAAATGATTCGATGTGGTTAGCAACCACATCAACACAACCTGTAGGCCGGCCGGATTTGCGATTATCTCCCCAATATAATGCTCAGAATTTGTTTTAACGCGCACTACACTAAAGAGTTCGGAACAACCCGAGTATTGACTATTATCTGCCGCGTTCGATAAGGGAGGAATCGAGCAAGCTTTCACTAAGATCTGAATTTATAAGAGGTCAATTTCATCCTTTTGAAACAATAGAAAGATTTCAAATTAAGCTTAATCATTTAAGTAACTAGAAATAAAATAGAATGTCAGTTCAATTGTTAGACTCATCATACGGTAAAGGAAACGTTAAATTTCTTAAAGTCAAGAAAAGTCCTTCCAATCCATCGGAGCAGAATGTGTTGGAGGCCAATGTACAAGTATTGTTGAAAGGTAACTTTGACATATCTTATACTGAAGCTGATAACTCACCCATTGTCCCTACAGACACTGTCAAAAACACTATTTTAGTGTTGGCTAAGACCACAGATGTTTGGCCAATAGAAAGGTTTGCTGCCCAGTTAGCAAAACACTTCACTAACAAATACAACCACATTCAAGGAGTTGAAATTACTATAACACAATCCAGATGGACAAAGTATAGTGTGGAGGGCCAATTGCATCCACATTCCTTTAAACATGAAGGTCCCGAGACCAGAAATACATTCTTGACCTACGACAAAACCACCAAGAAATTGCTCATTGTGTCCTCGATCAAAGACTTGACAGTTTTGAAATCTACAGGTTCCATGTTCTACGGGTTCAATGTCTGTGATTTTACTACTTTACCACCTACTAAAGATAGAATACTTTCAACCGATGTTGATGCAGCTTGGACTTATGATCCGAAGGTGATTTCTACATTGGAGACCGTGTTCAAAAAGGCAGACGAAGGCTTATTTGATAATACTTACGAAAACGCAAGAAAAATCACTTTGGATTTGTTTGCTTTAGAAAACTCTCCTTCAGTGCAAGCCACGATGTATAACATGTCGCAAAAAATATTAGAAGAGGTTCCAGAGGTCAAGCAGGTCAGCTACACATTGCCAAACAAGCACTACCACTTATACAACTTGGAATGGAAAGGCATCAAGGGTAACGGAGATTTGTTCTATCCTTCTCCGGATCCAAATGGATTGATCAAGTCGACTGTTGGAAGGAAGGGTCAAGCAAAGTTGTGATCATAATAAATCGTTTAGGAGATCTTTCGTTATTTAATTTAAGATAAATATTGATTATGCATTTTAATTAGATAAGCAATGTAAATATGCTTTAGCTCATATATTGTATCTTAATTGTACAACGCATTGTAATCGAAAATCGCAGCATATTTCATTGATATCAATGAGATGATGAGACAAAAGATAATGAAAAAAAAAAAATTTCTTGTACGAAAAAAAGAAGAACATTAACACGGTGCTACTGTTATATTCGGCCGTAGCTTGATATGAACAGGACCTTGACTGTTGTTGCTGCCACTGCTTTTCTCACAGTAGGAATTGTTGAAGGAATCCATAAATGGAGAGAAACGAATCAAAAAAAAAAGAAGAAGTCTTCTTTGAAGAAACCTGTTACTGAGACCAAAAAGCGCTACTCCGAAGAGCTCATAAGGGAGCAGCTTGCAAGAAACTATGTATTTTTATCAGAGAAAGGAATGGAAAAGGTAAGGAAACAGCATATAATTGTGGTGGGATCAGGAGGTGTAGGATCTTGGGTTTCTACTATGTTAGTAAGATCAGGAGTGGGTAAGATCAGAATCATAGATTTCGATCAAGTGACCTTGAGCTCTTTGAATAGACACTCAGTTGCTACTTTGGCCGATGTTGGTACTCCTAAGGTCGATTGTATAAAGAAACATTTGCTAGAGGTGGCACCATGGGTTAATATTGAGACGAGAAACCAATTATGGAACTTGGAGTCCGCCGAGGAGTTACTTTTCGGTGATAGCTTTGAGCCAACATATATAGTCGACTGTATCGATAACATGGATACGAAGGTAGATTTGCTAACATACTGCCACGAAAATAATTTGCCAGTTGTGTCTTCGGGAGGGGCAGCTTGCAAGGCAGATCCCACGAGAATCAATATCAGTGACATTTCAAAAACAGAAGAAGATCCGTTGTCACGTATTGTGCGTATTCGTTTAAAGAAAAGAGGAATAATAACCAATATTCCTGTTGTGTTCTCTGCAGAGAAACCCGATCCCAGAAAAGCGCAACTTCTTCCCTTAGATGATGATGAAATCAAGAAGGGAGACGTTGACATGTTATCTGCACTTCGGAATTTTAGAGTCAGAATTTTGCCTGTGATAGGTACTATGCCTGCGATGTTTGGTTTGACGATAGCTACTTACTTGTTGACTTCCATCGCAGGCTATCCTATTGAGCCAATTGAAGGCAAAAATAGATATAAGCTCTATGATGGGCTTTATAATAGCTTAGCTGGGCAACAGTCCAGACTAGGTGAACTTGATCAAAGGTTTCCAATAGCATTAAACGATGTGAATTATCTTTTGGAAGAAGTATTTCACGGCAAATCGCCCATATCCAATTACTCCACCAGGTTGACTCTCTCAAGATGGGATCCAAAGAAAGATATTTCTTTGCAGAATGTAGTAGTTATGACTAAGGAAGAGCAGAAAAGACATGAAGACCGAATATTACTCGGTAATGACTCAATTGAAGATGTTTATTCTCCGGAAGTTTTAGAAAGAGTTAAAGCTAGGTTTGCAGATGAGAGATACTACTCACAATTCAGATGATTCTTAATTTCACTTGTATATACCATTTATAATTAGTCTTGAATTAGAAATCAACAATTTTCGGTACGTTCACTTCATGCCGAAAGGGCGGAATATTTCAATTTTGGTTTTAGCGATTTTGGTGGCACAATTGAATTATTTTTCATTCCCAGTACTGAAAATAGTAGGCAATTTGCAATTTCTATCTCCATAGTGATATTTAGATTACAATGCTCAGATTGAATACTCTTGGTGTGCGTATGGCTGCACGTAAAAGACCATCTAACATCTTACTTATAAATCCAATTAAAGGGTTCGGTAAAATGAGATTCCAAACGAGACTTCAAACTACAAAAGCAACGAAGCCAGAGGGAAAAAAAGCCACGGGTATAAAGGCACTTGTCAAAGAATATGGATATTCAGCACTAGGTGTTTACCTAGCTTTAACGGCCATTGATTTACCAATTTTTTATATCTTGGTCCATTCTATGGGAAAAGATGAAATCGAGTATTACGAGAACAGAGTTAAGCAAACTTTTGGATACGGAGTTAGCGACGAAGAATTGAAGAAAAGGCAGGAGATCAATAAAATTCATGAAGAAATAAGCGCAAAAAATGAACCCGAAATACAAGAGAAGAATCCCAGTTTACTTCACCGTATTCTTCAATCATTTTCTTGGACCGAATTCGCTATTGCTTACGGGATTCATAAGTCATTTATATTTATTAGATTGCCCATAACTGCTGCGATCACACCGAGTATTGTGAAGTCATTAAGAGGTATGGGTTTTAAAATTGGTACTCATAATTTGTCTGCAACTGCTTCAATTGCGAAAAGTAACATTAAAGACTTCACAGCCTCTAGTCCTAATTTTGGAACTAGGCCAAACAAGAAAAAGAAGTGGTTCAGTTGGTTCTTTTAAAATAGGCTCTTGTGAACGTTGTAAATAGTAACACTCTTATCCTGTTAGTCAATAACACGTACACGTATATAAATAAATAATAAATAAATATATATATGTAGAATAATCATATGCCTATGAGCAATTTGCATCTTTCATAAACAAAGAATGAGCAAGCTGCCATTGGAATTACCTTTAGATAACCAATGCTTAATCCAACAAATAAACCTCTTACTCCACTTTCCTTGATTATCAACTTTCCCGTGTCAGTGAATGAGAGGAAGCGGCCCTGATTGACAGTACCTCCTACCTGCATTCTTCTTCTAATGACTTCAAAAGGATATGCTGCCGTTTGAGAACACATGCCGGCAATTCCTCCAGCGCATAGTTGGGCATAGACTCTCAACGGAGGTCTTGAATCTCTAGATGTTGTGGTGCCATTGCTTTTCACAACATTTTGTATCGCAACACTATTGCTTACAGCATATTTTGAGAGATACTTTGACCTGAACATGTCGTGAATCAAGTCATGAGTATAAAATGCAACACCTGCGTATGGAATCATCCCAAGAATAGTTGGAGCAAATCCTCTATAAAAGTTTGAAATAGAAGCAACTCTAGGAGGCAATCTATTTCTCACCTGAGCTAGCCAGGTTGAATCGTTGACTATCATTGGCGGAGTTTCATTAAAAATGTTTCTAATCGTCATATGTAGCATTCCTCTACGGTTGGTTGAACCGAAGTTATGTTTTTGTCTAAGAGATTTTGTTTCGAATGCCATCCTCACACGAACTAGATCTAACGGGTAAGTGAAAAAAACACTTAATAATCCGCTGAATGAACCTGCCATAATTCGTCTAATGGCAGTTTCATATAAATCATCTGGAATTAGGACCGCCCTAATTTGTTCATAAGCAACAAATTTAATAGCTGCATAAGGAAATATTCTCATTAAAGTAACAGAATGACCCTGAAATAAACCATAGATACCATCATTAAGCCAAATTTGTTTCGATGCTCTAAATAAACCAAAAAACTTTCCTCTATACTTCAAAAAATCGGGATTTGATGTCTGAAATAATATCTTGACTCTGTCTAATGGTGCTATCAATGTCTTTGCTGCACTTCCAGCTATACCACCAGCTATCCCTGACCTTATAACGTATTCAAATGATTGTTTGTCTATGACTCGAACTTCTTCCATAGGTGTCGATTCATCATTACTTATGGCATCAGGAGCCATCTTAGTCACCATCTTTGAATCGCCTGAGGTCTTATGTAACAGGTAACCCTGATAGCTAATGCTTTTCTCAGGCATCAATTTCTATTCTTATAATCAACTAATTCTCGAAAATGGCGACAAAAATTTCTAGTATTTTATATGAAACTTCTTAGAAAATAAAACAAACATAAATCTCTATTAGAGTGATCAGAAATTAGCTAATAATCCGAATGTCTTAAGCCTCTTTTTGAGTTTTCCTCTCCGTAATTCTAAGCAAAGAACAGATTTCTAAAGATGAACAAAATATGGGGTCGAGAAAGGTTACAAAAATGATGACAGTAATTTTTTGAACGGGTGACTAAATTCCAATTCAGTATGTGAAAGCAAAGAGCAATTTTTAGGCAGTCTAATTTTTAATACATTTAATACTTACTAAAGCCCGACTAGGTTCATTGAAGCATGCTTTCTTAATTATCTTTATATTGTGAATAATACCTAAAAATACATTTATATATTGAAATTCAATCAAAAAGTTGATCAGTGACCCAGAATATGGCCCCTATACCCTGACGTTCTATCTTTATGATAGTTTGACGGAGATCTTCCTCTTATTATCAAAGGAGGAGTCTCAATTGAACTTAAAAGAATAGGCTGAATTTGAGAGTCCTCGTCTTCGATAATTCCTAAAAGCTCGACGTGCAAAGTAAAATATCTAGAATTAACGGAAGTTGATTTAATTCTAATGGAGGAAGTGAATTGAATTCTTTCAAACCTAGCCACTCTTGCAATAGAGTCACTTGGATAATTTTTTAATACGGAATCATCCTTGAGAGTATCCAAGTTAGCATTGTGATAGTATTCAGCCCGGTCAAAGTAAAATATCTTGTTCATATTCTCAATCTTATTTCCGTTTCGCTTATTGCAGGAAGCCCTTACTGTCTCATGATCAGGTAAATCACCAGGCACGGCAGGATATATGGGTGGAGGAAACTGTGGACCCTTGTCTCTTTTAGCAGTATGCTGAACAAGACTAATTGAAACGTCATCATCAGAACATTTAGCAACTAAACGTATAGCAAAATAGCTGATTTCAACTTTGTTTTCTCCCACAGAATCGCCGTTCTTTGATGCCTTCTCAAAAGTATAAAACTTATTTTGAATAAAGCGTTCGAAATCAAAATTCTCCAAAGAAAAAGCGGCCACCAACGTGAAGTAGTTCCTCTTATATCCAATCCAAGTGCCGTTTTCACCCACTTCGAAGCCGCGGTCTATTCTTGCTTCCAAAATTGGATTTACATCCATATCATTTCTTTTACAGTAGATGTCTTGGTGATGTCTTGTTTCGCTGAATTGAGGGCCAACTCTGAAAAGATCACTAGATCTTGGTGCCACTTTTCTGGCACCATCCATCAAGTCAGCTTCATTGGCTTGAGCGAGCATTTCTAAATGATGTTGAGTTTGGGCCAACTGATGTTGCTGGTGGTAGTGCTGCTGTGCTAATTGATGATTGAGTTGAGCATTCAATTGATCATGATCATGGTGCTGATGATGATGTGGTTGGTAATGCTGTTGCTGTTGAACATATTGATGATGGAGTTGGTCTTCCTCTTTCAACAGCGGAATACCAGCAACCGCAGAGTTGGCGGCGGCCACAGCTGCCGCTGCGTCATCGGCGGAGATGGTTGGCTCATCATTCGGTATTGACATCATCTTGATTATATGTTTTTTTTTCTCTTTCTCTTGCCTGGGGCCTATTTACCTCTGCTCTGCAGCCTCAGATTTCACTCTATCTAGTAGGGACTATGAAGTGTCCTTCCCTAATAATTTGAGGTTTAACTCACAGCCACTGTAATATTCACCTATGAATCAGCAGGTTTTGTTTAACTTGCCTTGGTATAACTCCTAACACTTATTACCTTCAAGATTGGTATTAGGCTGTTAAATCAATTTTGTGCTATGTTTTTGTTTTGTATCTCTTTTATAAACAATCTATCAGTTCGAAACTTCAAAAATAAAGGAAGGTGGCGACAAATTTGTGTAATAAACATTTTGATGATTTTGTGGCGCAACTTTCATGACTTTGAGGTAACCCGGAACTTACCCCCGGGATTCTAGCACACTAGTGATCGTGTTTTAGGGGCATTCCTAGAGATATGTTCGGGGACAACTAGCACGCTGACGTTTAATAGAGACCAGCTGATTAGGTGTTAAATTATTTGTTGGCTCTATATATAGCTTGAAAGTTGCTTACCTTGCATTAAATATTTCTTCACTCATCCAGGACAGAACTTCCTTCTGAATTTTCCATGTCCTCGGGCTTTCGCTTATTGCGCCTTTATGGCCAAGTTGGTAAGGCACCTCACTAGTAATGAGGAGATCGTCAGTTCGAATCTGGCTGAAGGCAATTATTTTTTTTTATCCTTTTTGTTCTCACCTTTTTGTAATTTTGCAACAAATATGTTTTCTAAAGATATATAAAATTACTTAATTGCAGCGGCTGATACTCAAATAGCTTCGGAAGATAAGCACCTTTTCCTGCCTGTTGCTCAATGGACTTGAAAAGTAACCTTGACGAATACCGTTATACGGATCAAATTCATAGAAGCACTTGCGCTGATTTAGAAGGTGCAAACGGGATATTTGAAGATGAAAAACAAAGCGATTATTATGAAGTAGATGCACCTTATGCCTCTTGGAGCATTGAAAATGAAGCCAGTTACTCTAGCGAGGAAATAAGGATGATTTTTGTTACTTTAGGACGAGTATTTGGATTCCAAAATGACAATGTCAGGAATATGTATGATCATTTTATGATTCAGTTGGATTCTCGTGCAAGTAGAATGAGTTGTACTCTTTCTTTGTTAAGCCTCCATGCAGACTACATTGGAGGTGAACATTCGAATTATAAAAAATGGTACTTTGCAGCGCAGTATGATTTAGATGAAAATATAACAAAGCAGAGTAAAAGAAAAAGTTACCAAAAATTGAAAAAGAATAAAAGGAATAACAAGCTTCCTTACACATTAGATGAATTGAGTGACCGAGACTGCTTATTGGGAATGGAGTATAAGTGGAAAGCTGAGATGAATGCTTATTCTGATCTCGACTACATAATTCAAATTGCTCTTTATCTTTTGATTTGGGGAGAAGCAAATAACATAAGGTTTATGCCTGAATGCATATGCTTTATTTATAAAAGTTGCATAGATTACTATGATACAATTAGTAAATCGAAGGAGAAGCCCTTACAAAAAGAGTTTCATTTTTTGGACAAAGTGATTACGCCATTATATAACTTCATTAGAGATCAACAATATGAACTTGTTAATGGTGTTTTAAAGAAAAATAAGAAAGATCATACTGACATAGTTGGTTATGACGACGTTAATCAATTATTTTGGTATCCAGAAGGATTAAAAAGAATAAAATTACACGATGGTAGAAAGTTGTTTGATATTCCTAAGGAAGAGCGTTATCTTCATCTTCCCTTGGTAAACTGGAATAAGCTTTTTTACAAAACCTATAAAGAAAAGCGCACTTGGATGCATTCTCTCACAAATTTTAGCAGAGTGTGGATTATTCATATCACAATGTTTTGGTACTACACTTGCTTCAATTCTCCAACCTTGTATACCAAAAATTACCATCAACTATTGGACAATAAGCCCGCCGCACAAGTTCAATTGTCTGCCGTGTCATTTGGAAGTGTTATTTCCTGTCTCATATCTATTCTCGCTACAATAACCGAGTGGAGATTTGTTCCAAGGAAGTGGCCAGGCGCTCAACATCTTACTGGGAGGCTCTTGCTTTTGATATTATTGACTCTTGTCAATATTGCACCCTCAATCTACATTTTTGGATTCATTCCCCTAAACGTGTATTCAAAATCTGGACATATCATAGGAGTGGTTCAATTCATCATTTCTGTGATCACGTTCTTATATCTTGCCATTCAACCACCTAATAAATTATTCAGCTTCCTTCTCAAACAAAGCTCAAATGCAATCAGAACTCAGGCATTCACTTCCGCCTTTCCTCAATTGAAATTTAGAAATAAATTGTATTCTTACTCACTATGGGTATGTGTTGTTCTGGCTAAATTTTTTGAGTCATATTTCTTTTTGACATTATCCTTGAGAGACCCAATTCGAGTATTATCTATCATGGAGATGTCAAGGTGTCGAGGAGATATTATATTTGGTACTATTTTGTGCAAACAGCAGGCAAGATTCACTTTGCTTATTATCTATGTTACCAACTTGGTTTTATTTTTTTTAGACACCTACTTATGGTACATTGTGTGCAATTGTATTTTTTCGGTGGCATTGTCGTTTTCGCTTGGTATTTCAATCTTTACACCTTGGAGAAATATTTTTTCACGATTACCAGAGAGAATTTCCAGCAAGATCATATATTCAAATTGCGATCTTAAATCAAACCCTATCTTATTAATATCTCATATTTGGAATAGTATCATATTGTCGATGTATAGAGAGCATTTACTTTCAATTGACCAAGTGAATAAGTTGGTATATCAACAGGTTAGTTCACCAGATTACGATTCCAGCAGCTACATAAGACCTCCTTTGTTTTTTGTCTACCAAGATGATAGCTCTTTTAGTTTGAACGACTTTTTCACACCTGGGAAGGAAGCTGAAAGAAGGATCTCGTTCTTTGCTCAGTCGTTATCAAGCCCAATTCCAGAGCCAATACCTACTCTGGCAATGCCTACATTCACTGTACTTGTTCCTCATTATTCGGAGAAAATAATTTTAAGTTTAAAAGAAATAATCAAGGAAAGTAAAGGATCTAAAGTCTCGTTATTGGAGTACTTAAAATATTTGCACCCGACTGATTGGGACTCTTTCGTGAAAGACACGAAAATTTTGCAGCTATCGCAATCTGCCGACGCTAAAGATGAATCTGACTTTTCTTTTCCACTCAAATCAGGAAAGGAAGATCCGATAGACTTCATAAAAAACCAGATTGATGACTTACCATATTTTTGTGTCGGGTTCAAGGATTCCTCTCCAGAATATACTCTAAGGACGAGAATTTGGGCTTCGCTCAGATATCAAACATTGTACAGAACTATTTCCGGGTTTATGAACTACGAGACCGCTATCAAATTGTTATATCGCATTGAAAATAGCGATGTTGATTCTAAGTACATGTATAGCCCAGAAGAAACAGAAAAGGAGTTGTCACATTTTGTTAAACGTAAGTTCAGGCTTTTAATATCGATGCAAAGATATCAGAAGTTTGATGAACAAGAAAAAGAAAATGCGAATCTATTATTTAGGGCCTATCCAAATTTACAGGTAGCTTACCTAGAGGAAGTCAACGAGAATGGAACATTAGAATATTACTCAACTTTGCTTGATGTAACAAGACAAGATGAGCAAGGAAACTACGAGAAGAAATATAGAATAAAGCTCTCAGGCAATCCAATTTTGGGTGACGGAAAGTCAGACAATCAAAACCATGCAATCATTTTCTACAGAGGTGAATACATCCAAGTAATTGACGCAAATCAAGATAATTATCTTGAGGAATGTTTAAAGATTAAATCAGTTATGGCCGAATTTGAGGAAATAAATTTGGATCCTTCTTCTCAGTATGTTCCAGGTACATTTCTGGATGATAATGCGGATCCAGTTGCGATCTTGGGTGCCAGGGAGTATATTTTTTCTGAAAACATAGGTGTATTAGGAGATATAGCAGCAGGAAAGGAGCAAACTTTCGGAACACTTTTTGCTAGGACGCTAGCTGAAATAGGGGGCAAGTTACATTATGGCCATCCCGATTTTTTGAATGGAATATTTATGACTACCAGGGGCGGTATCTCAAAGGCCCAGAAAGGATTACACTTGAATGAAGACATATATGCTGGAATGACTGCTACCTGTAGAGGGGGAAGAATTAAACATTGTGATTTTTATCAATGTGGTAAAGGACGCGATCTTGGTTTTGGGACAATCTTGAACTTTACTACAAAAGTAGGTGCTGGAATGGGAGAGCAGATATTATCTCGTGAACACTACTATTTGGGAACTCAACTACCAATTGATCGTTTCTTATCATTTTACTATGCACATCCTGGATTTCATATAAATAATCTATTTATCATGCTTTCAGTGCATTTGTTCATGTTGGTATTAGTAAATCTTGGATCTTTGGCAAACGAATCCATAATATGCCACTATGACCATGACATTCCTTTCACAGATTTAGAAAAACCTTTAGGTTGTTACAACTTGCAGCCAGTTTTAAATTGGGTTACAAGATTCGTTTTATCTGTCTTTATATGCTTTTTTATATCATTCATTCCGCTTGTGATTCAAGAACTTATTGAAAAGGGTTTCTTAAAAGCATTATTTCGAGTCTTTTATCATTTCATTTCAATGGCTCCATTTTTTGAAGTATTTGTTTGCCAAGTCTATGCTCAATCGTTGAAAGATAACATTACATTTGGGGGTGCAAAATACATTTCAACAGGTAGAGGTTTTGCAACTTCACGATTATCTTTCACAGTACTTTACTCAAAATACGCTACGATCTCAATCTATCCTGGAGCCACAGTATTTTTGATTATATTATTCGCTACACTAACAATGTGGCAACCTTCTATCCTATGGTTCTGGATAACTTTTATCTCCATGTGCCTTGCTCCTTTCATTTTCAATCCACATCAATTTTCTTGGGGAAGATTCTTTCTTGATTACCGTGAGTTCCTTAGATGGCTTTCAAGGGGGAATTCGAAGTATCACCTGAATTCGTGGATTGGTTTCACCAGGTTTCAAAGATCAAGGTTTACCGGTTTCAAAAAATTAGCAATAGGAGACGTCGCCAAAAAAATGAACGAAACTTCTAAAAGACCAACTAGAGTGAATGCAATACTTGATCAGGTAATCTCACCACTTATATCCACTCTTTGCTTTTTCGTACCATACATGTTTATCAATTCCCAGAATGGCGTCAAAAATCCATACCGAGTGAACCCTCTTTTCAGACTCTTGATAATTGCGTTTACTCCGATAGTTGCTAATATTCTCATCTTGGTAATTATTTTTCCAATCTCAAGTGTTCTAGGGCCCCTCTTTGGATTCTGTTGCTCAAGTATCCCTTCCTTTTTTGCAGCAACTGCACATTTCTTATCCATATTGATACATATAATAACATTTGAAGTATTCTTGTTTTTACAAGGGTGGAACTTCAGCAGAACACTATGCGGATTTATATGTGTTGTATCCCTTCAAAAAACGATCCTCCAATTTGTGTCCATTGCCTTATTGTCAAGAGAACTCAAAGATGATTATTCCAACAGGGCATGGTGGTCCGGAAAATGGCTAACAAGCGGGCTTGGGTGGCTAGTTATAACACAGCCATTAAGAGAGTTTATAGTCAAAGTTTGTGAACTTAATCAATTCGCATATGATTTCATCTTGGGTCATGTATTGTTGATGTTTATGAGTCCCATTTTATTCATTCCATTCATTGACAAATGGCATACTAGTATGTTATTCTGGCTCAAATCTTCAAAGCAATTCAGAGACCCGATTTACTCAAGGAAACAGAGGCGTACGAGAAACGTTAGAATATTCAAATACAGTTTCTTATTTTTTTTAATGGTGGCTTTGATGGTAGGTTTAATAATAATTCCAATTGTTGGTCAGAGCTTCGTACCAGATATTAGAAGACTGTTACCATCATTCTTAGCAGAACTTATCCAGCCAAATCATCAGAAAAATAACGATACTGGTGATAGAGCTCCTAAATATATTCCACGAGAAACACCTCGTATGGTTCCAATGAGAACGATACCCTAATTCGCAAACAGATATCATATAGTTATATGCCGGATAAACACCACCGAAATAGTTTGTTTACCTCAATGGTTTATGTAGACCTATGAAGCTCGTATCTCTCATGAAAAGTAACAACGGATTCATGAATTCAAGAAGCCGGAAGCCTCTGAGTTTAAGACGGAAGGTGTCTAGAAATGTTGCTGGATTGTCACCAGCCGTTCATGAAACCGAATCTAAACAAGATATTCTAAAGAAATTTGAAGATGATGATATGGAGGATGATATTTTTGGAGTCCAGATGACATCTGTTGATGATATGGTAGATGACTTTAAAACAATACAGATACCTGAAACTGAACTAAGTACGCTCAAGCTGCCATTCAAAAAATCAATAAAATTTCAAGATCAAATCGATCATCATCTCAACTTAAAACCTAATCACAGGTCGAGCTTGAAGAAGGCGGAAGGACTGCAAATATATATATCGCCTACGGACACTATATCGACATCGTCCCCCAAGTCCTCTTCTGTTTCAAGACAGTTTAATCATCGCAAAACGCTCAGCGATTACAGTGAGAACGACACAGATGCAACCTCAGAAGTTGTCGAGGAGGATTTTGAAGATATTGATATGATCTTTGGAAAAGAGGAAAGTGGATTATATAAAAAGATGAATGAGCGTCTAACAAACAAAAAAAGGGACTTGGAATATGGTGCGGAACTTGAAGAAATAGAATTGAAAAGAAAGTGGGAGAATTCACATCACCAAAAGGATGAAACAGGTACATTGAAGCTTAAAGATTTTAAAAATTATAACCAGCGTGAGAAAGATATTGAATTGCTAGGGCAGCTTAATAGAGAGAATACTATAGATTACGACTATGTCAAAGATGATTATGAAAACTTTGAGGAAGGCTTTGAGGATTTCGATTCTAATAGATTCAAAGTTGCGAAGCACTTTGAAGCTCCGAGGTCATTAAATATGAAGAATTCAATGCCTAATTTTGTATCACTGAGATCCAGCCAAGGAGAAAAGGCTCAAGGATCTGAACAGCTTAAAAAATTTAAGTCTGTCATTGAATTGAACAGTGGAGATAAAGCAAATAGTGGTGCACATCCTGTTTTCAATGATAACAATAAGATTATACGAAAACTTGACAGAATACCATCATTTTATAGCAAAGAGATCAAGGATAAAAAGGAGAGGCTTCTAAGCAAATATAGGGAACAAGCCTACGCAAAGAAAGAACAGGAAACAAACACTTTGAGACGTTATCTGCAGCCAAAGCGCAAAAAGAAGGTAGGACTTATTCAAAACTTAAATTATCATCCCATCGAATACAAGAATATTAAAATGAAGTATAACCCAATCAGTAAGCAATGGGAGGGCAACGAGATCGATTTGATGAAATTTGAAAGTCTCCAGAAACCTGCACTTATTACCATGAACGATTTAAACGATAACGATAAAATTAAGAAAACTGCAAGTATGATTTACGACAAAGAAAACCTTCGATGGATTAATTTAGAAGAGGACTACGACGATGTGTTTGATAATATCCCTGATTTGAACGATGAGCATTTAAATCACTCTCCGGTGAGAGGAATTAGCACGTATACCCAAAGAACAACTTCATCAGCGTCTACGTTAACAAGTGAGGGCAATATAGAAAATGAAATTTCATTGTCTCAGAAAAACGTCGATAAATTTTTAAAAGAAGAATCGAGGTTTAAAAGAAAGACCGAGCATTGGTTTAACAAGGGTGAAACATATATTTTATCGGACAGAGAGCCTGTAAGAAATGATTACTTTTGGGAAATTAGAAAATTAGTTATAGACACTGATGGGTGATCATTAAAATAAATTGATTTAAATAATATGTACAATAGTTGTTACATGATATAAACTTCATTAATGCATTATGTCTGAGCTTGCCAATACACATTCACCTCCGGGTACATCCAAAAAAACTATTTTATCACATTGGATGACGGTGCCTATCGATGTAATTGAGCAAGAAGGTAAAAGTATACCCACTTCAAGCCCAAGATCCTTGCAGAATGCTCTTGATAATTTCTTATTCAAGTATGAAATCTCTAATCCGACTTCTGTAACGACACACTCGTAACTTGCTTTTACTGAAACTGTCGGATCATTTTCATTAATGATCTGCTCTAGTGAGGTATAAGTCCAAAATCGCTTGTTTAAAAAGCCTAAATTTTCAATTAAACTTTGGGCGTTACGGATCTTATCAATTTGATTATGCAAAAGTTGACCCAGAAAAGGACCGTTCAAGTTGTAGCCAAATCTTTTGAGATAGCTGACCCTTTTATGAATGTTTGATATTGTGTTGGTGTTCCTTTTGACCCACAATGATTGTAAATAGTTTAAAATTTGTATCTGATTGAGCATTGCCTCGTAGTCATTAGTAATATCGCACATTTTAACATATCCGTCTTTCATGCCCAAAGGTATATTCTGCAAGCTTGATAAGCCGAAAACGTCTACTTCTGGTTTTGCCAAATAATTTCTACCTATGAAGTAGGCCAGATCTGACACAAACCCGCTAGAATCTCTAGAAATTAGAGTGTGGAAATAAGAACCTGATCTGAAATTGGGCAAAAGAAAGTTGTTGTGAGAAACAAAAACTGAATCAAAGTCACTATCGGGCTCGAGGTCTTTATCATTGAATTCAGTTAAGCTATCTTGCGACACCGCATTTCTATTACTCATCAAGACATCCTGAAAGTGCCTAAACATTGGAATCCCATTATGAATAGAATATGCTGCGGTAGCATTACCGATGAAGTAGTCAATTTCCCTCATTAAAAATTTAGAAGAATTAAATTCGGAGTTACTTGAAGACACTTCTACTTTTGAGATGATGGTTTCTTTTGGTGTATCTCTATCACATATGCTCACTTTTTTTAACAAATTGCTAGCATCTGATCTCTCGTAAGGCAGAGAAGACTCAGTTGACGAAGATCCGTCTAAATTTCTAATTTTGAAATGACTACGCATCACGTTATAGATAAAATTGATATTATGACAATCTACACCACTCAAGGATGGTTTAGCTTTTTCATGATCTGATTTGAGCTTTGTAGAATCTCGTCTAAACAACTTAAATGGTGATTTTTCTAACTTACCATTTAAGCAATCATCAAGCTCATTCCAGTCAACATTCTTTATTTTCACATCATGTAATGAGTCAAAGGAAAATGAAATATTATCTTTCAAGTCCTTAAAAGGATTTGAATCGTAAACGTTGTACGTAAACGAGAGAGTTAGACATGTAGTTTTCAGATGAGACTTAGATGAGCTTGCGGTTTTAAAATCGCCAACTTGAAATATCTCATTACTATCATGTATATGCTGTTCTGGCAATTCGAATTCTTTCACCAAAGAATTATCCAAGATATTTATAGATGTTTCATTGATTAGTCCAGAGATGGTTTTCATGAGAGAGCTATTAGAGCTCATTGAATTGAACAATTCACTTGTTGGCGCAATCTTCGTCACAATGTCTGGCATATGAATATTAATGGAATACTTTCTGGAGTTGAGTCTTTCTAATGACACTGCTATTTTTGAAGATTTTTTTTTGGATGCAAAGGGTTTGAAAAAAGGTAGTCCATAAATTATATGATCTTGATAATATTTTTTTTCATTCCTGAGATGGGGAAATTTGTCAACTACCTTATCTTCGTACAACAAATCCTTTGCTAAGGAATTCGGGGTTAGCTCCCTGGCGGATGAAATAGCTAGTTGTGACAAATGAGGCTTTCCTATAATATTTGATGATAAATAAACATCTGTCGATTGATTATTGGAATTATCATAAATTTTCAACTTTTTGAGTACTTTGAAAATCGATAGAGATGTAATTAAGGTTCCTTTAAACACAGCAAGCTTCGATAATGGACCGATGATTGATGGGTGAGGGTATATAATTGCAAATTTCAAATAGTCTATAAGACACTTAAATGGACGTCCGCCCCATATATTAAAGAATAAATTCAATTCCTCAAAGGATTTGGCAGATTCTGACTCTTGAGTCGAAAGTAGGTCATTTAAGAAGTCCTCATATTCAGCAACCTTTTTCGGACTCTCAAAATCTTTAAGGATCTTTTCAATCGAAGACCAGTTATTTTCAGAATTAACGAAATAGGAGATATCAGGTGGTAACAAATTAGAGTAACCTCCTTTGAATAAATTTGTATAGCTAACACCGCATAAATTCGAAGACATAATCCATCGTGGAGATTCTCGAATCAATAGTTGACAAGATAACAACAACGACGATTGATTGGAATACGTTTTGTTGAGGTCATCCCAAATTCTCGAGTCAAACTTTAATGAGTCTATTATTTCAGCTAAAGAAATAGGTGTAATACTAAATGGTTGAGCGTATTGAGCAAACAATATTTCAAAATTCTTCTGTAATTCTAAAGAAAGTCTCTTACTTTGACTCATAAAGCTATTCAATGAATTGACTAAAGATAAACGGACAATATTCGTTTTCTCACTTCGATACTTTAATATTTCTGAATAATTTACCCAATCTTCTCCGTAAACCCTATACAAGTGAAACGTAACTCTTGTAGGACTGACTAATTGTATCTCATTTTGCATAGTTAAAGTGGTAAGCTTATTATAATTCTCGTCAAACTTAGCTTCTGACGCCCTTAAAACCACACCAAGAGACACATAACCTGTAATCGGGTCTATAAATTCAACGAGAGAGCCTACCGTAGGTGGGCTCATGGCATTCATGTCAATGGCATCTTTTAAATTGGAAACTGGATCGAAGGAAGGAATAACGTTGTCTGACTGAGAAATATGGGATCCATTGGAATTATCAAATGACCATCTACGAGCTGATCTGTCAGCGATGAATTCACCTAATTGATTTTTAATGCTTGTCACATCATCAAAATTATTAAATATCGGTTCATTTATGCCGTTCTCGCTGAAGAACTTAACACTCTTGTCTCCAATGTAGCGCTGAAAAGCGATACTATAAGGAGTCGCCTTTTGATTCTTAACCAAGAATCCTCGACACCTTATTCGGCCCTTGGGTCGAAGCTTGAAAATATTGATCATTAGCGAATCGATAAAAAGAAGCAAACAACAGCAATATCAGTGTCTTATATATGCCCAGTTATATTATATTGCATTAGTTACCTGTATGTTTATATATATATATCGACTAGGGCCTATTGTTTTAAGAAACAGTGTCTAAAAGAGTTGAAAGAGCCAACTTTTTTATATCTTTTTCTTTGAAATTTTTTTATTATGAGATATGTCTACATAATCATATCTAAGACCTTAACCTAAAAACGCGACCTAAGGATGCAGTTTACTTCAATTTACAATTGGGCTGTTAAGAAAACTTTATTGACGAGATGTAGAAACATAAATGAAGTATAAATTAGGATTAAGCCCATCTCTGTACAATCACTGCATTTTTCAACTTAGCGTCGCTAACAGTAGTTTCTTTGGATTCTTCTATTGGCTTGACAGGAAATGCATGGCTCAATATAAACGGTTTATCTGATTCATTGAAGTCATGATTTCTAACAAACGCATATACATCAGCAATGGAGTCAGTTGAATTGAACTTATGAGATATCTTTTTGCCATTTGCAAATCTGATTTGAACCAATGTATCACCCTCACCTTCGCTGTCCGATTTTGTTTCGGGTTCGGATACCACTTTTAAGACTTCTGAAGGTTGTGGACTGGCTTCGCCAGGTACTGGTGATCCTAACCTTTGTCCTTGCCCATGGAACCCACCTGCTTTTCTCTTTGGGGGCACCCAGTCTTCTTCAGTCTTTCTAAATACAGACACATCGACATCTTGTCCAAATTCGATATCAAGCAAAGACATAGGAACTCTACCTCTATTTAGTTCTTGTAAAACGGTCGCATTATTAGGATCATCATATCTATGAAGAGGGCCGCCTCCCACGGTAAAACCTTGTCTCCAAAATGTTATTTCTCTGTTTACTTTCTTTGGACGCTGTGGAATGTTACTGAATGGGTCCACCACCTCTTCCGAAGGCTGCACGCCGTCACCTAGTTTAAAGCCAGAACCAGAAAATTTTGGAGCCCCATTTTCTTCTTGCTGAGCGGAGGGACGGTCGTCCGCTTGATCCATCTGTTCCCTTGCCTTCTGAAAAATTTGATCAATTATAGACTTGTCATTATCTTTGTTCTTCCTAGGATCTTCAACTTGCAATCCCGACTTCTCTCCTCCTGTGAAGAAATTCGTATTAGTTTTGTCATCTTCTGAATCATCATCATCGTGATTTAAGTCCTTGAATGTATTTAATCCTGACCTGAAAAGCTTGTTAGTTGCTTGCAATGTGAAAGTCATTTAAGAGGTTATCAATGATACTTACTTTTTAGCCGTAGGTTTCAGACTCGATGCTGTTGGAGCTGTTGGCAGCGGTTTATTAGCATAATAATCCTCAATTGCGTTCATCAAATCCCCCTTGTTTCTCTGTAAATATTGTTCAGCCAAATACTTCGACGCATTCGTTACGCTGACGAATTGGTCAATTAAATGCTCCTGGTCTGACATAATTTAATTACCTCTTTCTTTAATATCTTTTTTATTATCATTTAGATGGCAATTTTAATTTCCTCGACTTTGACCCAATATCACGAACCCAAAAACTAAAATACATATTTAATAGCCTACAACAAAAAGCGAATAATAAAGATTACTTTTTATATTTAACCGATGTTGAAATCCCAAATTTTATACCCCAGGAAGGAAGTTTAGACTTCCTTCCAATAAAACAAAAATACTATAGAAAAAAAGTACATAAAATAAAACAATGAAATGATAATTTCAATGAAAACTTTCATTGGACTATCACGATAGATAAATTACATTAATGTTGAATAAATGTAATCACAGGACACAGCATCAACAATATGAAGAATTGAATAATGCAGACCGAACTTCAGGGGTCCTAAAATTTTTTAAACATACAAAGACATTTAGTTCTTAGCACGGAAGTACTTGGCAGCTTCAACCATATTGGTCAAAGATGCTCTAACTTCTTCCCAGCCTCTGGTCTTTAAACCACAATCAGGGTTAACCCAGAATTTGTTAGCTGGGTACACTTTCAAAATTTCTTCAATTCTGTTGATGAACTCTTCCTTGGATGGGATTCTTGGAGAGTGGATATCGAACAAACCTAAACCGATATGGTTAGGATAGTTGGAAAACTCTTGGATGTAGTTTGGATCGTCCTTCTTGGAGAATTCAATCGAAACAACGTCAGCATCTAAAGCCTTAATGTGGTTTGGATCCAAATCTGAGTAACAGAAGTGGGAGTGGATCTGAGTTGAGTTCTCGACACCTGAGGTGGCAACCCTGAAAGATTGGGCGGCCCAGTTCAAGTAATCAGATCTCTCTTTACCAGCTCTCAATGGCAAACCTTCTCTAATAGCAGGCTCATCGACTTGAATGACAGTGATACCAGCCTTTTCTAAGTCTTGGACTTCATCTCTCAAAGCCAAACCTAATTCTAAAGCTTGAACCTTTTGGGAAACATCGTCTCTTGGGAAAGACCACCTTAAACATGTGACAGGTCCGGTCAACATACCTTTCATTGGTTTCTTGGTGATAGATTGGGCGTAGACTGATTCCTTTACAGTCATTGCCTTTGGTCTAGAGACATCACCAACAACAATTGGTGGTCTGACATATCTGGAACCGTAAGATTGAACCCATCCATTAGTAGTGAAGGCAAAACCATCCAATTGCTCACCGAAATATTGAACCATATCATTTCTTTCTGGTTCACCATGGACTAAAACATCCAAACCAATTTCTTCTTGGAATCTAACAACAGTTTCAATCTCCTTGTTGATAAATGCTTCGTAGTCAGCTGCTGATAATTCACCCTTAGCAAACTTGTTTCTGTTGATTCTGATATCCTTTGTTTGAGGGAAAGAACCAATAGTAGTGGTTGGGAACAATGGCAAGTTGTATTTTTTCTTCTGAGCTGCTAATCTTTCTGGGAATGGAACCTTTCTAGTGGACAAAGATTCATTGATGGTAGCTAATCTTTCTTGAACCTTTGGATTTGTGGTGATTGATGATTCTTTTCTTGACTTAATGGAAGCACTGTTAGCAGCCAATTGCTGAGAAACATCTTCTCCAGATACATTCTTGGCAATGGTTACAACTTCGTCCAACTTTTGAGTAGCAAAGGAGAACCAATCTTTAATAACTGCGTCTAACTTCTTCTCATTGTTCAAGTCAACAGGAGTGTGTAACAAGGAGGAGGATGTAGAAACAATTACTCTGTCCTTACCCAACTTGGACACGGCCTTGTTAACGAATGCAGAAGCTTTTGAAAAGTCAGTTTTCCAAATGTTTCTACCATCAACGATACCAACTGATAAGGTTTGATCATCACCAACGACTGAAACAACTTCATCGAACTGTTCAGGAACTCTGACAAAGTCAAAGTGGAATCCAGAAACGGGTAATCCTTTGAGAGCTGAGAGATTTGGTCTTACATCACCAAAATAAGTAGTTAAGACAATCTTTGGTAATTTATCACCAACCAAAGCTTCATAAGTAGCTTTGTATTTGGATTGAATTGATTCTGGCAAATCCAAAACTAAGATAGGCTCATCGATTTGAACTTCTTTAGCACCGGCAGCATATAATTTAGACAATAATTCTTTGTAAACTGGAACAAGCTTTTCTAGCAAGCTGATTGGCTCCAAATCCAAAGAATCCTTGTCCGACTTACCTAAGTACAAGTAAGAAATTGGACCCAAAATTACTGGTCTAGTTTCAATACCTAAAGCCTTTGCTTCGTTATATTCGTCAACTGGTTTTAATCCGGCATCGGAGTTTAACTTGAACTCAGTGGAGTGAGAGACAGTAGGTCTAACGTAATGGTAGTTAGAATCAAACCATTTGACCATCTCCAAGGCAGTAACGTCAACAGCTGGGGTGGAGTCAGTGGCTTTTCTTTGCAAACCTCTGCCCATAGCAAACAATACATCAATTGGAGCCAAACCGAACTTTGTGTATCTGTCTGGAATAACATTGAACAATAATGACAAGTCTAAAACTTGATCATAGAAAGAGAAGTCATTAGATGGAATGATGTCGACACCAGATTCCTTTTGTAACTTCCAGTTGTGGGCTCTCAATTCTTTACCCTTGTTCAACAAGTCTTCAACAGATACCTTACCTTGCCAGTAAGATTCAGTGACCTTCTTCAATTCTCTTTGTCCACCGATACGGGGGAAACCTAAGACAGATGATTGAACCATTTCTTGCTATCTATCACTATTTTTGATTTCTAATTTGTTTGTTTCAAAACAGGGATTAAAAAAATATTTCTTACTTATTATTGCAGATACTGTGGATTTATATTCTTTTGCCCATATGATTTATACGACTGAAAAATTTTTAGATTGAACGACGGCACGTGAATTGATCTCGACAAACACGACATTCAATATTTAGTCATGAACGACAAATCACTACTAGGATTAGAAATTGGATTGGTAAGGGGGATGTAGAGCCACGTTCCAAGATGACGCTTGAAATAATTATATAGAAAAAAATAGAACAATCAAACTAGCATCTCTAGATTATTTTAATGAAAGAATAAAAGAATCGAGTTTTTATTCAAGAAATTACATAATAATAACTAAGGTCGATCAATGATAGAAGAAATCTTGCATTATCAGATTTACTAATGTTTAAGAACATTCCTATCCGTTAATATCTAAGCTCATATATGAGAAAATTACAACAAATCAAGTAAGCTAGTATCACCATACTTCTTTCTCTTTTCGACAATTTTAGTAATAACAGGGCCAGGGTTTAACATTCCAAAGGTTCTGTACCTCTTAACTTCTTTTTCTACGTCAACTCCATCTTGTTCAGTGTAATCAATAAGCAGCTGTCCTAAAGCTGCAAAATATTGATAATTAAGAGTGAATTTAGGTTTGGTCTCATCCAACAAGTCTTTTAAAGTGGATTTTTCATCCAATGGAGTGTTATATCCCTCACCCTTGCCTAAGAAAACTCCAATATGCTTCAAATTTTCAAGAATTCCATGTTGATGAGCGTAAAGAACTCCACCAGCCTCTTCAATCTTTGCCTTTTTATAAAACGCCCTGTACTCGTCAGGAGGTGCTCTCTTAGACCCAGTCCAACCAATTTCAAGAAGTTCCTCTTTTGTGATACCAGTCTTGACCTTTTCTCCAAGAAACTTGATCACTTTCATAGGATTGAAAGCACCGGTATTAACATAAGCTAAAATGGCCAAAACTTTAATAAAATGAAACCCAAAGAAAAGTACTTGCTGCATAATTGGTACAGGATCATAAAGATCTGCAACTAGAAGTTGTGAAATATGGTCGTAGTGGAAGTGTCCGGCAATCTTACTAGCAATTTTTGAGATTTGGTTCGTCAAACAAATTCCTGGAGTAGGAGAAATTGAATCTGGTAAATCCGTGTAAAGCCAAACAATTAAAAATGTTATAAAAGAATAGAACGAAAAGTAATCATATTGCCAAACTGGTACTATCAATTGACCTGGCCAGATTTTATCCGAAATTTTATCATCAAGATCAACTTTTTTCAAAAATTGCTCTTTTGTAACTTGATAATCAAATAGCACTGTACCACTGTCTGTTAAATATCCTGGACTAGTAGAAACATTGAATGCAACCGGTATTAAATTATAGAAAACATTGGGCCTCAAAGACATTGGCAAAGTTTTAAAAATCTTAAGGACATCACGAAAGGTATCACTGGTCTTGAACAGGAAGCAATAATCTCTATCGAAATCATCATTAAACCTCACATAAGCCTCTATGTAACCGGTCTCCTCTATCTCTGACACATCGTTCAATATCTTCTCACTGTCTGACATGATAAAGCTAACTAAAGAAAAGATTCAACAACTTAGCGGAGAAAGAGCGGCGAAAAATCATTTTGCTCGACTTCCCCCAGAAAATTGTTGTTGCACAATGACGACTACAAAAATCTAGGGCCAAAAAAGGCACGAGATTGGTAAAACATTGTTTCTCAATTGTGATACAATGAAGTTAGACTCAGTACTATCTATAGGCCAAACGAACTCATTTCATTTGGATTATTATGGTCGACCTGGGGAGAGTCAACTAACAAATATTTCATTTATTAGGGCCTTGAGTAGCGACTTCTCTTCTTTCGAAATGTCGGAAAACTTTCATCCGTGACCGCGTTCATGATAAAAATAGCAGAGTCATCTCATTTCCTATTTATCTCCTCATTTTCATCTATGAGAAATAATTCTAACGTAACGGTCGAATTTTTAATTTTGCATCCTCGTACGAGCTCTTTTCTCCCTGTGTATACTTTGGTTTAATCCGAACATCTGAGTAAATGTTTGAAGGAACTGCGCCGGCTATGAACAATCTCTCGTAAGAAATTTTCAGCCCTGTTGCGAATTACTGTTCCTGTATCGGGCCGTGAACTTCCAAGCATCCGCTATCCAGGCAATGTACTCAGACAACATCTTTCAGCTTTTCGTATTCTAAAATTAAGCTTGTACTTCTGTCACGAAACAATTTACTTGGAAACTCTGCGCCGTCAGGGCCCTTGAACGCGCTCAACTTGACATATTTCCAATATAGGTCTATACTACCTAACTAACGCCTCCTCTCGCAGGCTGAGCGTGTGTAATTAATTAAGAACCGTCTCTTACCACTGCCCCCATACGACTTCTCTGGAAATTCCGACTCTTTATCATGAGTTTTACTAATGACAAACACGTTTTCCTTTCCACCAATACAAATGTCTACAACTCTATTAAGCCTTCTTGCACTAAGTAATCAGCGGTCTCATCTTTTTACGATCGGCCACTTAAACTTTCGGTTTATATCTGCGGCCGCGCACTCCTTTCCGGTTCTTCTGTTTACCGGTGTTGACACTTTTCGCGGTATAGTAAATGTCCATGTCGCATTGTTACCTCATCGGATCGGTGTAAATAGTAACTGGTATTTTGGGGAACTAAAATTACCGCATATTACAATCATTAAGCTTAAGACGAGCTGCTATGCTCTTGTACAGCCCCTTAGCATATGCTATTGGTCTATCGCTTAGAGTATTGTTAAGCAAATGAAATGTCTCCATAGGAATCTAATAGATTTCACAGTGGCGGTGTCAATATTGAAGTGCGTCTAAGGCGCGCGAAAGCGCCATTTGTCTCGTTTATCGGGCTGTCCAATTTTTGCTTAATTTGGAATTTGTTTTGGCTTTCTTTGTCGACATTTTTTATTTCTCATGCGTAACTATGCAGAACCCTCGGGGGAAACAAATCATATATATTGTGATCTCGTCTTTAGTCCTTTCAAATTACCGCTTACTTTGTTAGGCTCGTAGATTTAGGAAGAGTTATATAACACCAATCCGCTCGTTGAGTTTGAATTTAAGTTCAGTTGCTATCTTAATCTATCGCTAGAAGGGACAAAATCAAACTACTAGTCTACAATGTTATTCAGATCCTTCTTGGCTAGCGGGTTACTTGTCTTATCGACGTTGATGTCGTCCGCCAAGGCCGACGATTTGCCGGAGATTGAAGTAGTGGGTAACAAGTTTTTCTACAAGAACAACGGTTCTCAGTTCTACGTCAAAGGTATTGCTTACCAACAGGATGTTACAAATGCTACTGATAGTTCATTCAGTGATCCTTTATCTGATGCCGACGCATGTAAGAGAGATATTCCTTATTTGCAGGCAGTTGACACTAATGTCATTAGAGTGTATGCTCTTAACGTTTCGTTAGACCACTCTGACTGTATGTCTATGTTGCAAGATGCTGGTATCTATGTGATTGCTGATTTATCCGAACCCGACTTATCTATTAATAGAAATGATCCTCAATGGACCGTTGAATTGTACAACAGATACGCTGGTGTCGTCGATTTGTTTCAAAACTACACCAATGTTTTAGGTTTCTTTGCAGGTAATGAAGTCAGTAACAACAAAACTAATACCGATGCTTCCGCTTTTGTCAAGGCTGCTATCAGAGATATGAAGGCCTATATGAAAGCACAGGACTACAGAGCAATTCCTGTTGGTTACTCTGCGAATGATGACCAGGACATCAGAGACTCATTGGCTGACTATTTCGCTTGCGGTGACGAAGATGAGAGAGCTGACTTTTTTGGTATCAACATGTATGAATGGTGTGGTTCTTCGAGTTTCAAGGCTTCAGGTTATGAAACTGCCACCGAACAATACAAAAACTTAGGTATTCCGATCTTCTTTTCAGAGTATGGTTGTAATACTAAGGGAACCAGAACGTTTCAAGAAGTTGGTACGTTGTTTTCCAGCGAAATGACTGATGTTTGGTCTGGTGGTATTGTGTACATGTATTTCCAAGAAGATAACGATTATGGTTTGGTTTCTGTTGATGGCAACTCTGTCTCAACAATGAAGGATTACAGCAACTATAAGTCTGAAATTCTTAAGATCTCTCCATCATCCGCAACTGCCTCAGACGCATCAACAACTGTCACTTCTTGTCCAACTAGTACCTCAAACTGGGAAGCCTCAACTGATTTGCCCCCAACTCCAAATAAGGAACTTTGTGATTGTATGAGCGAAGCAGCTACTTGTGTCGTCAGCAGCGATGTTGACTCAGATGATTACTCTGACTTGTTTTCCTACGTCTGCGAAAAAGTTGACTGTAGCGGAATCACAGGTAATGGTACCTCAGGTGTATATGGTGCTTACTCTCCATGTTCGGACAAAGCTAGATTGAACTTCGTTTTGAACTTGTACTATGAAAAGCACGGTTCTTCCCTGAGTGCATGTGACTTTGATGGTTCAGCTTCTTCAAAGAAGGCATCAACTGCTCTGTCCTGTTCTGCTCTTCTTAAGTCAGCCGGTACTTCAGGCATGGGAAGTGTTTCTGCATCAGTACAAACCACCAAGCACACAAACATCACTAACTCGAAGTCTACTGCTACCAGTGGCTCTTCGGGTTCTAGCTCATCTGGATCTTCATCATCTGGATCTGGTAAGTCATCAGGAGCCGCTCCTCAATATTCTTTTGACTTGGTCACTAGATGTTTATTGGTTGGTGCTTGTATGATAGTTGGTGCAGGCATGGTTATGGCCTGATTTCATAATATTAAATATGTTGTTTTCTCGATGTATTTCTCGTGATTTATATTTAACAGTAATTAGTTCATTGCGATATGTTTATATAAATAGACACTAGAATTTGCAGAAGTACTTCCTAATGGCGATCGTTGGATATAAGTAGTCAGAGCTTATGATCCCAGAAACTAAGCTTTAAGAACACGGCTCTCGAATTTAGTATTAGGAGCACATTATTGCCAAAGCTCATACTTTGCTCATCCTAAAAGAAGATTAGAATTGTAAGAATTTGGTGCGTCGCTATTGTTCGCGACGACTACGTTCACGAATTACCCCTGACCTCATTAGGAAATGCCTATTATTAAATTTCTATGTCGAGTCTTAACTTGGCATTATTAGAACATTGTAATTAATTCTTGTCCAGGGTACTCAATCTTACGAAAACATTAGTGGCTGACAGTGTTCATTTTTTTTGCTTTATCGCGTCACTAACCATAAATTTACATAAAAGATAGATTAACAAAGCTACTGTGGTAGTGTGACAAATTTAACACGACGGAGGAGGCACTGCTAGCACTTGTCCCCACTAGCAAGATATGCTCTAGATTTGATCTAGGCCCTCTCTTGACAGCATTTCTATCTAGTCGTGTATGTTAATTGCAAATAATAAATAATATAGAATCAACACTAAGCGATCTCATCTTGATCCATATTGAGGCTTAGTGTAATCGACATCTCTTAGCTTATTATAATTACGACTTGCACATCTCAAAAGTTGAAAGCATCAACTCTGACGAAATGATACTATGCAGTCGCTTTTTTGTGACTCAGCTCGGGTATCAGAACGATGAAAAACAAAAAAAAAAAAAACCTACTGAAACTGTCACTATATTGTAAGATCAGATAGGATATGTCTGTAAGTATATAATGAAAAATACTCTCAATGACAGATTAGAATACTAATATTGCTTTAAAGTCACTGATTCAGCCTTCATTTGAGCATCTATCTTCTATTTTAGAGAAGCAAAAGTCGAAGAAAGATGCTCCTAACTTGTATCCTATTTTTAAATATGTGACCAATACAGATTTGACAGTTAATCAAGCCTACTTGAAATTAGCAAAACTAAATAATAATGAGAGGTCGGCGTCATTTCTTTTTGAATCAGCATTGAATGGTGATACAGTAGACAGATATTCGTTTATTGGAATTAATCCACGCAAGATTATTAAAACTGGAGATGACGAAAGCGTTTTCACAAAAGACTTCTGTAACGTTGATCCGATTACGATCTTGGAAGATGAATTGAAAAACTATAGGCAAATGGAGCTCCCTGGGCTTCCAAAATTATCAGGTGGAGCTATAGGTTATATCTCGTATGATTGTATTAAGTATTTCGAACCAACTGCCGCAAGGCCCTTAAAAGATGTGTTAAAAGTGCCTGAAGCAGTATTAATGCTCTGCGATTTGATTGTTGTGTTTGACCATGTGTACCAGAGATTCCAACTTGTGAACAATGTCCAAGTTCCAAATAATGGCGATATCAAAGCTAACTTCGAGAAAGCTGCTGCTGAAATACTTGAAGTGGAGAAAATTTTAAGAGCGGATATTCCTCAGTCTGAAATAAAACCTCATCAACCCCCCATCAAGAAGAACCAGACGTTTACATCTAATATAGGTCAAGAAGGTTATGAGAATCATGTCAGTGTACTAAAAGATCACATATTAAAGGGAGACATCATTCAAGCAGTGCCATCACAACGAGTTGCACGTCCAACTTCATTGCATCCCTTTAACATCTATACACATTTACGTACTGTGAATCCGTCTCCTTACTTGTTTTATATTGATCTAGTCGACTTTCAGATAATTGGAGCATCGCCAGAATTATTGGTGAAATCAGACGAAAATGATAAAATTGTCACTCATCCTATCGCCGGAACAGTAAAAAGAGGGAAGACTAAGGAAGAAGATGAAGAAAATGCTCAGATTTTGAGATCTAGTTTAAAGGACCGAGCTGAACATATTATGCTTGTGGATTTGGCTCGTAATGATGTGAATAGAGTGTGCGAACCCACTTCAACAAAAGTAGACAGACTATTGACAATTGAAAGGTTTTCACATGTTATGCATTTGGTCTCTGAAGTTAGTGGGACCTTGCGTAAAGATAAGACTAGGTTTGACGCCTTCAGATCAATTTTTCCAGCAGGAACTGTTAGCGGGGCTCCTAAGGTAAAGGCGATGGGACTAATTGGTGAATTGGAGAAAGAAAAACGTGGTGTCTACGCCGGTGCCGTTGGTAATTGGGGCTATGATGGTAAATCTATGAACACCTGTATAGCTTTAAGAACGATGGTATACAAGAGTAATACTGCTTTTTTGCAAGCCGGTGGTGGAATTGTTTTTGACAGTGATCCGTACGAGGAGTACATCGAAACTATGAATAAAATGATGGCCAATAACAACACAATAGTTGAAGCAGAAAACTTTTGGATAGAAAAAGTTGGCTCCGTATAATAAATACAGTGATAACAGTAAACGTCTTATCTCTGATAAGCTGTAATATCTATCTATAGTCATAAATTAAATATTCGATAGATCACATGATCGCGCCTGCATACCCTATTGACGGTCCACCTCAGTCGGTGTCACTTCGATGATCATCTTAGATTACGGTTCAAGGCGATCACTGATGTGTAAAGTCAAGGACTGAAAAGCATGAGTGTAGAGCCTAGTATAAATTTAGAGGCAGGGATGGCAGGTGTATCAGAAGGAATTAATCAAAGATCAGGGGAAAGCACACCGAATAGCTCAGGGTCAAAGAACTTCTCGAGGACGCCGACCTCATGGGACACCCAAGATGACATCCTCTTGATGCATCTTAAAGACCAGCAAAAACTTGGATGGAAAGAGATTGCAAGCCATTTTACAAACAGAACACCAAATGCTTGTCAATTCAGATGGCGTAGGTTAAAATCTGGAAACTTGAAGAACCCTCCAAAGTCTACATCCACTTTTCCTGAGAAATCGCCAGGTGTCGGCAACAATGCTGGAAAATTAGCAGAAGCTAAGGGACCAAGAAAAGGAAATAGTGGTGAAAAGAAGTATGACTCTTTGAATAGCCATACGGGATTTGCATCTGCTTACTCTCCAATAAGCAATGCTACATTTACTGCTTATGACAATAATATAAGCAATGCTTTAGCAGATTTGAACGCATTGTCCAATACCCCTTCTAACATATCCAGTCCCAGACCTGGATTTAATGCCTCCTCAAATATAGGTGCACTGTCATCAGGAGGGAATGCGTCAAGTGGAAATGATCATTCGAAAGAAAAAGACTTTGAGAGATCCCCTAAATCAGAACCATCTGATATTAAATCTCATCGCAACTCGAATAGTGGAGCAGGATATTATAGCGATATGTCCATTGATCTGAGCTATAGTCAACATCATCCTCATACAACGCAGAACACATTAACTCCGAGAAATTCGGCATCGCATCAAGACATTAATAACCCTCCGAATAATCATCATCATGTCGGTCAAACTCATAACATGCATCAAAATTCAATCATACAAATAGTAAAAGATGATAGAAGCTCAATAAGTTTCACAAGAGCATCAATTTCATCGTTACCTTCAAAATCAATGAACATACCACATCATCAACTGAACAACAATGCCTTAGCCCATCTTCCAATCTTATTTGGTAGCAACAGCGTAAGTGGGCCATCTCGAAATTCGAGTATCAGTGGTCCCATTGGCCTTTTGCCACCGTCTTCCAATGTCTCAAGTTTGAGAAATGGAAGTGTTGTTGGAAGTGGTGGTTATTATTCAAGGTCAGGATCCGTCGTTATACCCCATAGTAGTGTCAAGAAAGATGAAGATTCTTCAAAAGCAGAGAGCAAAAGGAGTGATGCCCCGAAACCTTCCAAGCGTAAAAATGTGCAGCCTGTGCGATCCGTACGATCTAATTCGTCTTCTAATTCACAACCCATGTTCAAAATACCATGGTCTATGGAAGAGGACGAGCTATTGATTAACAGAAGGAACAGAGAATTATCTTTTGCTGAATTATCAATTTTGCTTCCCCAAAGAACTGAAGGAGAAATATGGTCCCGGATAGATTATCTTGAAAAGCTTAGGAATGGTCATAGGTCCTCCACATCAAGAGAGAATAGAAAAAGGAGACAATCTTCAATTGGTTTAGATGTTCCTGACTTTTACGATGAGGTAGATGACGTTATTGGGGGAATTGGAGTTAGCGAAGATGAAGATGACGAGGTTCTAGTTGATGTCGATGATTCAATACATGGATCAAAAAAGGGGAGGAAAAGAAGAGCTAGCTCCGCTGTAAATCCTCTAAGTGTAAGCGAATCTATTCAGAGAAGATTAAGATAAATAAATTTCCGGCGATAGCATATATGGTTGACGTATTCGTATATTAAACGAAGTATGCTGACAGTCGATATACTTCACTTCGTATGTAAATTATGATAGAATTTATCACGAATCAATAAAGCTTTAAATCTTTAGTAATCTGATCTATAGCCACATTAGGGGCAGGTCCTAGTCCTAAGACTGTTGCACTTCCAGCTGCAATTTGGGTTCTACCAGCGTCATGAACGATGTATGAATTAATTCCTAACGATATTGCTTGAGCAAATAATGTGTCCATCTCTTCTTGATTTGGAACTTGTAAAGTTATTTTAGCTTGTCCATTCCCCTCTTCCCATCTTCTTGCCATTACAGGATTGTAAGCTTCACTATTAGGATTTGTGATTTTCTTATATAAGGCTAAGGTGGCGTGCAGACATTGCGCAGCTACCTTTCCTTTACCCATTTTCAAGTCCTGACGGACAATAAGCGTCATCTTAACTGGTCCAGGTAACTCATTCAAAGGTGTAGAGTCAATATCAATCCCTTCATCATCGGACTCTTCTTCTGACTCCAGATTGCTATCACTGAGCCCTAGTTCGTCTGAATCACGGTTTCTTCTCTTAACTCTTTTAAAACATTTTCGAAAGAAAAAGCCACAAGCAAAATATATAGCTGGCTGCCATTTGGGAGTATATTTAGTTACACATATGCAGCAGCCTACAAGACATATAAGTGGGCTTATCCCTCTAAGCCCGAGCAGCCATTTGAAGGTATACATAAATGAATGTTCGTTAATATAAAAATTATTGAGTCTACTTATCTGTGAAAAATTATGAAAATCCGATCCGAGACCAAAATTCTCAGCCATCAAGATATCACCAAGATATCTTCTTCTGATGAATAAATTCTGTATGGACAGATTTCAGGTTTCATGGATCTGCTCCCTCTTTTTAATTAAACCAATAATTTGTCTTTTTTAGAGTTTTTTTTCTTTGGTCTCTTTTTCTCTACCTTGTTAGCGTACTTTCTCCAATTTGACACTCTTTTATCTCTATCATCTTCCCATTGAGTCTCAAGTTTCTTAAGGATCTTTTTCTCCTCTTCTAGCTTCTTAGATTCGGCTCTCTGTTGTGCCAATTGCCTCTGTTGAAAATTTCTCTCAATCTCAGCTCCTCTCTGTTCATTAGTTAATATTTGAGAAACTTTGTTTCTTAATAAGATGCCTTCAGTGTCACGATGTTCTAAAGAAGTGGAAGTGTCCTCAATCTGCTTCCTCGCTGCATGGTATATATCAAGTAATCTGCTCTTGTCAGAGGCCAATGTTTTAGCATTAGTGTCGAGCTGATCTTCTTCAGCCTTACTCAATGGGTATGGTGTTGAAAGTACTTGTTCGGACTTCTTGAGCCTATCGAATGCCAAAGGAGCTCTTGGATTGGATGTTTTATCTGGATGAATGAGTAATGATGTCCTTCTAAACTTCTTTTTGGTTTCATTTTGCAACGCATTTACATCTATTTCTAAAGGGTTTATTTCCAATATTGAAAAAAAATCTTCTGCGTGGCATTCCAATATCCTTGTGATCTCATTCTCTCTGGCTAGTTCCAATTCCTCTTTCGTTAGTACTTTATCCAACTCACTCAGCATTCTTTTAGTATTTGCTATAGCAAAAATGTTGCGTAAACGAATATCGAAGGGGAAAAGACATTTATCAATGTCAACTTTAACAATACGCTAGTAAAAAGCTCTATGTTAAAAAAGCCTTTTGGAAGATTCAAAGGGATGACAATAGCAAAAATGAGCTCTTGGAGACCAAGATATTATGATATAGGAGTTAATTTTTCTGATCCAATGTTTCAAGGTTATTATAACAATTCTTCAACAGCGAAGCATAATCCCGATCTAGATGAAGTCATCCAAAGAGCAAAATGCTTCAACGTTGATAAGATTCTAATAACTGCATCTACAATCAAGGAAAGTGAAGAGCATTTCGAGTTGTGTGAAAGATATGGCAATTCTTTTGGATCGACCGTTGGTGTACATCCATGTACGGTAGCACAAGAGTTTTTTGTCAAAGATGAAGAAAAAAATGAATATACCAACGCTTTAATACCTAATATCGATGAGAAATTATCCATTTTGAAGAAAGTGGCTTTATCTGGTCAGAAAAGTGGTTATGTAAAGGCATTTGGCGAAATAGGGTTAGATTATGATAGACTTCACTACTCCACGAAAGAACAACAAATTTCAATGTTTAAAAGGCAATTAGAAGTATACCGATCTCTTGAGAACCAAAATCTTCCATTATTTTTGCATATGAGGAACGCTTGTCTGGATTTTATTGATATTATTGGACCATTTATTGACAGAGGTGAAATCAAAAAAGGAAATGGCGTTGTGCATTCATTCACAGGCACCCAAGAGGATTTAGAAAGATTACTTGAATTGGGTTTTTTTATTGGAATAAATGGTTGCTCTTTGAAGACTGATGAAAATTTAAAAGTGGCGTCTCTTATTCCTAAGGAAAAGCTTATGATAGAAACTGATGCAGCTTGGTGTGAAATTAGGAAGAGTCATGCTGGATATAAGTATATCACTTCGTATCCCAATAAATTCTATCCTGAGATACCAGAAGAGTCTCCTGAGTATGGAAATCAAATCAGTGGGAATAAAGAACAGCTGTCGGCAAAGCAAGGTCGGAGTCCTCAAGTGAAAATGGATGAATTCTTGCCATTTCCATCCATCAAGAAAGAAAATTTCAACAAGCATCTCTCATTTATAAATAGCTTGATGCAGAAAGAGGGACCGAAAAAATTAAATACCTCTGTTGGGATATTTTCTCACCCTTTGATCAAATCAAGGAACGAGCCTGTGTTTGTCGGATATGTCGCTGAAATAATGTGCCATCTATATGGCATCCAAGATGAAAAGGATATAGAAGAATTCATCGACTTGGTCTTCGAAAACAGTCTTCGTTTATTCGGCTAGCAAAGGCGCTAGGAAGGCAAAAAGATACAGTTTGTTTAGACTAAGCTAATAGATGTATTATTATATGTGTAATTAATTTATATTAAATTTACGTGTAGACCTAGTTTTCAATGCAAATGTTTTTATTATTTCTTTAACCTCGGAGAGCTACGCAATGGTGATATTACCTTATCTCTGTTTCTTAAGCTTCTCGAAATTGGCGTTATAGAAGCCATTTGTTTTACTGGTGTTCTTAACTCCTGTATGCGAGAACTTGACCTAGTTGGCCTTTTCAGTTGCCCTTCTGATTCAACTTCAGATTTGGCTGATTTAGATCTCGTTGTAAATAATTTAATGTGACTATTATCAGTTCCTCGAGAAATACCTGTAACACCCTTTGAACCATTCGGTTGTCCATTTCCTTGGACCTTTCCGTTCCCATTATGATCATTGACAATACGCTGGCCTGTTCTTTTCGAGTCTACAATTAAGTTGTCCTCGATCTGATTCACGCTATCGAAATTCGTTTCTGTATCTTCATATTCATCAAATTCAGAGTCCTCTTCGTCCATATCGCCAAGAGCTTCTCCCTCTTCCTCATTGTCCTCTATTTCGTCCTCATCTATGTTAACATCCTCATCGTCATCTTCATCTTCGTCATCTTCGTCATCAATTTCTTCTTCTTCTTCGCCATCGTCATCGTCATCTTCGTCGTCATCTTCGTCGTCATCTTCCTCAAAACTTTCTTCGTGGCCATTGAGGGACAGTAATTCAGATACGTTTTCATCACGAGTAATATCTTTTCCACCCAGATCCCCGGCAATTTTAACCGACTCCGCTTGTACTCGTCTGCTGCGTTTTGGATCCATAGAAATACCAGGATAACAAATAAGATAGTTATCGATGTTTTCATCGGTGGTCCTTGTTGAATCATGGGACTCGTTTTCATTATGCATATCACTGTAGAGTTCAATCTCTTTGTATGCTTCCTCTTCAAAACTGTATGGATTGTTGATGTCATCCTTTAAGAAGCCCTTTATCAGAGCAATAGAATTGTGTATAACGGGAGCATTCGAGGACTCAGTTTGAGAATTAGCAGCCGGAAGAGGCGTCAAAAGCGTCGGCGCAGAGTTGATTCCCCCGGATGGTCCAAACAACATTGGCTTCCAAAGCAACTTACTATAGTCTAATTTAGTGTGGTTCTTTTCTTGCCATTTTTTTATTACTGAGCTCATTTTTTTTGTTTTGATAACAATACCATATGAGCTAGACTTAGGGTTTTTTATTAAACAATCGAGTTGTTCTAGTCCTACTACAACATCCGAAGGTACCATCCCTGTCAACTTGGATAAGTTTTCAATTGATACTGTGAAGTTTTTACCTGATCCTTCACAATACTTGGAATATAATTCTTTAAGTTTATATGCAATAGTTACCTTCCAGTAATTCTTGTAACTTAATAGACCTAAGTCACTTAAAGGTTTTTCTGGAGTTCCAAATTTAAATTCATTTCTGGATAGTAAATAGCTGAAATCTATTAACAAATGACCATATCCTTTTCGTTGATAAATAGGCAAAGTCAATATGCAAGATACATTGTAATCTGAGTTGTTTAATTTTTCCTTTGAGAAATAGCCAACAAAATGATACTTCGAGGGATCATGTTCGTCTATTTCTGTTAAGACATAAAATATAAACGGCTCCACGTCATAATACAAAGTCTTTGAGTTCAAAAAAAGCTTTGCTAATAAACATAAATTTTGACAGTAACTTATATTCTTGCGTCCATCAACTTCCCAAACCGCAATTCTCGCTGATATATCCCTATATATTTCAATTCCCGGAGGATGGTTGTTCGTTAAGTTGCAGTTTTTTAAACGATGACGCTCATATGTCATCGAACAATTCATATACTTTAGACAATATTCACAAATGTAAAGAACAGAGGACTGTGAGTACTCCTCAGGATATGGAGCCGTATACCAGGTCTCAATCTCGTAATTTCGAAACTGTATCTTCTTTATTCGTGACTTTAGATATCTCTGTATTGTTGGTACCGGGCTAGATTCCCTACTACTAAAGCTTAAATCATCGCTATTTAAGTGAAAAAGCTCTTTGTTAACTCTTACGCTTCCTTCATTCAAAAATCGGTTAAAAATCTCTCGATCTTGTTTTGTTGGTTCAGTTTCATTAATAATACATTCAGGAAATCCTAAGACACCCCTATATGGTAACTCCCTTAAATCGAGATCATCTTCTATAGTTTTTGATCCATTAGATTCGGATCGTTTGGATTTTAACGGAACCTTAGGTTTGACAACTTTTCCAGTTTGATTCAAAGATAGTCTTAATAAACGTTTTCCTCCAGCTTTTTCCTTATTATATTTTATCTTTACAATTAAATAGTGCCTTTTCGAATTATTTATGACAACATCAGTTCCCAGTTTTTTTATATAGCTTTCAATAGGAGCTCTTGTTTTATCTACCATATCTTTCAATGAATAGTTGTTACCTTGTTTCCGTCGCAGTGCCCTGTCAACGAGCTTCCCTTCGGAGACATCCTCGTACAATTTATTATTCGTTATCTTTAGATAGTTCAACAGATGTTGTCGACCTGTTGGTGCCATCTCTATCAATGTGGCACCAATTATTTTTCACGTTATGCCGCCTATTCAACTACGACCCAGGCAGCTAAAATCTAACTTTCTTCATACCTGAGATGTTTACGCGTTATGAGATTTTATATACAGGTATACGAGAAGGAATTTAAAATGGAATTGTAATGAGAAAAGTCGTTCGGTTCTTTATAGAAAGCAAGTCATTATATTCTATAAAACTCTGACTGAGATTATACGAAGGCAAAGATGAGTGTAATAAAAATATAAATCTAAGTAACGATGTAACGATGTAGATGTTGGCA